CCTACATAGAAATCTCAAAAAAAAATACTTCCCCATACTAAACCGCCGATCAGCTGAGACGAGTTTGTGTGTTTTTTTTGAGATTTTGATATAAGTCCCATAGAGGAAGCTGTTGTTTTTGAGCAATATATGTAGAATCAATTCCTAAGAGCATTACCCGCTCTTTGTAACACGTTCCAGATAAGGCAATATACTGTCGGTAACTAGGAAGCAAGATAAGAATGCAGATGATGATCTACACAAAAGGAGCCGATTGGTATTCGTCACTTTGAAAACGGATAAAGTGCCGACACCATTGTTCTGGTCACCGACCATATACAATTTTTGGTATGATTTATGACTTAATTTTGGCTAATGACCTACTTCTGATTGTGGTTTAATACAGATAAGATCATAAACTGTCGGTTAATAGGAAACAAGATAAGAATGCAGATGGTGATCTGAACAAAAGGAGCCGGTCGGTAATAGTCACTTTAAAAACAAAAGAAGTGCCGATACCTTTTGTTATGGACACTAATAATTTTACAACTTACATGATTTATGATTTAACGTAAGTAGCATATTATAGAAAAAAAATAGTCTACGGAAAGAAAAAAAAAGCTTTCACTCGCATCTTGACGTTCGTGGTTTTCACAACTTGAGCTTTGCTGAGTGATTTGGAGTTCGTTTGCTGTTTGACTTAATGCATCGAGTTGAGACTATCTCCTCTGCCTATAATTCCTATCTGTGAACGAATATTTTCTTCACAGGTAGAAATTAATGCAAAAGAGCTAAGACGTTGGAAAAACATTAAACATACAAAAAGGTTGACTACGCATGACATGAAAAAAAAGCCCTAAAATGTATGAATAGAATATTTTTTTAGAATAGAATTATTTAGAATAAATAGAATAGCAAACACGCTCTACACAATTCACAGGACATATAAATTAGATATTAAAAATATCTCACGTCGGAATCTAAGGCCTCATGCCGAAACCGCCGATGGTCGGGCGAAGATACTTTATTGAGATGCCGGGCCCACCGATGGGCGGGCTGAATACCAGTATAAGGCGGCATGGGGGTAATGTTGGCATTTCTTAGGAAGGCAGTGAATGGGTTAAGGTGAACGCGCCAGGGTAACCCGCGAAATTCAAATTTTCTTACGTTTTTTGCAATTTGTAGGTCAGTGTCAGCTTGTATGTTTAACAAAATATGATTCGCGACCGTAACGAATATGTATTTACAGAATTATAATCATTATAATAATCAATACAACCGTCTATTTTCGTATAATCTCATTGTATGGCATTTCCAGAAAAAAATCATTCAAAGGGATTATATGGAATTAGAGAGTTGTATTGGTGATTTTATTGATAATAATTCTATAAACACATACTCGTTACGGTCGCGAATCATATTTTATTAAACATACAACCTGACCCTGACCTGCAAATTCCAAAAAACGCAAGAAAATATGAATATGGCGGGCCACCCTGGAGCTTCCACCAACTTCTTTCTTACGAAAAAGTCCCCAAGACTTCAAGACAAGAAATGTTTCAAACTTGACATAATATTGAAGTTTAAATTGTCAATCTGGACCCCAAAAATAAATCAAATCCAAATTTTTAAATACTTTATTAAAATACATAAAAAATAAACATAGTTTATATTATATATAACCAGTGCTAAAACATTTTAAACGATCTAGCATTAATTTAATGAGCATTGCTGAATATAAAATATTATAAAATAGAGACAAAACATTATACAAATTAAAAAAAAATTAAAAAGACATTACATTACATAAGTTTTAATATCAACAATGTCGATAAAATGTTATACTTAAAAGACATTAGTCTTAGTTATTTCTTCTAGCGCTTACCTATAATAATTAAAAGTAAATTTATTGAATATGGAATGATAGAGCTGTTTGTAATATGTGTATAATATGTCAGTGTCGAGTACAGGCGAAGATTAGCCAGTCTTTAGGTATTCTACAGAACACATTTCGGGGCGTGTGCTCAGAAATTACATGAATTTATTCCTCTCTCCACTTTCCGCTATCGACAACCCAGCCATACAACGGGTTTCTACTTTCTACCCCTTTCTTACTAGTTCATAATGCATAAAGCAAATGAGTGTTATGCCAGCCTATCTTCTCGTCCGATAACATTGTGAGTGTATTCTAAAGAAAAGTGATAATAAAAATTTGTTTAAGAAATAAAAAGATAAAATTGTGTAAAAAATTCCACATAAATAACGTTATATATTTGCTTGTTCCACAAGATTATTCTATTATTTTAAAGAAAGAACAAAAAAAAAACAAAAAAGTTCCGCGTGCTCCACCGCCTCAGCGTGACAAGCAAGTAAAACGGTATATTACATTCACATTATGTATTTTTACCGTATTTAAAAAATAGAATCGTCGAATCGAACAATAACGACCATCTGGTGAAGATGTCTTCATCCGTAGATAAAATGTTTTTGTGATTTTTTAATACCACTGATAAAAATTAACATGCGGACGGCGACTCCTAATTCATTGACTACCAAGTTTTTCAACGGGTCGAAAATGATATGGGTAGCTGTTTTGGTCAATTAGCTTCGTGTCTTATACAACACAATAATCCAGCAGCGTTCACAGTACATTCCTGAGGATTTTTTTGCAAGACCTTATGAATTAATTGCTGTAAATGTAAATGTTGGTTAACACCCAATATTGTGAAGTAGGAAGGAGTTCCCGCTCCTCGGCCACTACACTACTGTGGTTTAACAGTACTAGACACCTTTACTATGTCTATTGAGTACTCTCAGCCTGATATATTATTTTATGTAATGCAATAAAGTAAAGACCAAAAAAATATCATTCGAAATATACATCTCGAAATGAATATTAAAGACCACAAAATGTGAGTTTATATTTATATAAAAGATTTCTTTAAAAACAATTCTTTGCTTCTTTTACATAATATTTTTCTCTAATTAAGATATATTTCTAATTATGAATCTAGTTATGTAGATATTTTCTTCTTATCAAACTATGTTTCTAAAGTCATGCTCTCTGTGATGAGATGTTGCATTTTAAATTTAAAAGATAAAAAGACTAGCATGATAATAAAAATAAGATGGCCACAAAATTTGGCACTATTTTATTTTAGTTTTAAACTTTTCTAAAAGAAATAAAAATCTTGACTATAAACCTTAGAACTAAAAATATTTATTTTAGACTGCTTGTGCACTACACGGTAAAATAACAGTCCGTATTTTTAGTCCTATATTATCACTATTCATATTCGTATGTATGATTGTGTTTTCTTGTGCACTATGCGTAATGTCATTGTCCGATTTTTCATTTTGAAATTCCAGACAGAGTTTGTCAGTGTTTGTCAATTGTTTTCACTGTATTTTGCTATTTTGTCTACTTAAGCTCAGGCAGCGCCTATTAAAATAAAATAGTCTAAATTACAATAAAAAAAAAATAACTTATAATTTAAGTTGTCTTCAAAAAAGGGGGAGATTCCCTTAAATTTCATTTTGACTAGATATATGTTTTTCGTACGTGTGATACGCGATACCTTTGCCAATTACGAACGGATTTTGATAATTCTTTTTATTTTATTTATTAAATAGGCTATACTTCAATATAAAAACATTAAAAAATTAAGAAAAAATATTTTCCTAATTATTGTTTATATATGTATAGGGGATGAAATTTTTACTTTTAAACGATATTCTGGTAATAATCTTGAGCTTGTGATATTAATAAATCCATTCAAAAGGGTAAAAAATAATATTTTTAATAAGAGTTAAATAATTTGAATTCGTTCAAAAATCTGATATTAACTTAGCAACACAGGAACTCAGACATGACATTATAGACAGTAAAATACGTGCAGTGCACAAACGCCCTTACAGGTATTTACTATGCCCACGACAGAATTTTTTAAAATATATTTTCAGGACACTATAATTTTCTTGGTAATAATTTATTAGCAATAACTGTAAATGATCTTCAATTCAAACTATATTTAAAGAATTTCTGCAATCACAAAAACAAATAACAGCAAAAAATTTCCTAACTACACATCCATATTTATTGAAGAAATTTAAATAATAGCCACAAATTGTAAAATTAAAAGTGAATTTAAGTTACAAGTTTATGTAATAGAGTTTGTCACGAGTTAAGACAACGTCTATTACAGCTGTTTTTAAGGCACTGTGTATCTCCAAATTTGAAGGCATGTTTGAAATGGGATTAGCAATTAGTTATAAGCAGACTTAATACATGAATCTGTAAATATTAGTACATAATAATATACATTGGAAAATATTATAAACAACATAATTTTAAATTTATTTTGCAAGGTACAATGCAAAAAAAATATGTTGATGAAACATTGAATAAAATGTGGAATTGTATTATTTTTAATAAAAATTAAAAATGTATTAATTGTATTGCGCGAAACTCTCATGTACACCTAACATGAGACTTTCGCGCCCGTATACAAGGGCACCGCCAAAACATACTTAATAAAATACTTTTTGAGGAGCGCATTTTATAAACAAATTATTTCAAGTCAATTAGGCATATAAATAGGTAGTATATAAATCTAAAATGGACAAACAAGCATGATGATATTATGGGCTTATATTCTCAAGGCACATTCACTGTAAAGATGTGTAAAATGTGTGTAAAACTTTTATAAGAAAAACTAATCAACTATACTTTTCTCCCGGACAAAAGAATAGTTTCGTTACATTATAAATAGTGACAGTCAAATATAAATACAACTTTCTATAATTCTCGATTTGTGTAATGTGTTTTTGTGCGCATGGGAATTGATAATGTTTAAAAATTAAGTGCATTTATGATGCTAATAATGTTAACCCGTTGAATAATATGTTAAGTAAATCGTATCAAAGTACTTGTTGTATGCGCAGAATATAATTTGGCTATTTTGGCACATTGTAGAAGCGTGTGACAAAATATTTAAACTATTTTTAGTTGCTTATAGCGCTTATAGGGCTAGATGTTTAATACGTTCAAGAAGTGCATCACAAGTTTTTTTAGCGTCACCCAACAACATAGCTGTGTTTGGATTGTAGAATATGGGATTGTCAACAGCGGCATAACCAACTCCCATCGATCTCTTCATGACCACCACCTGCAAACAAATCATATTTATTCATATATTTTTTTTTTATAAATAACATAAATCTGCGTGGTAGAGCCACGCTGCAGTTATATTATGGTAGTAGCATGAATGGGTCGGCTTCACCGGGGTTGGACCACAGTATACCAGCGTAAAATATCAATAGCCAATATAAATATAATAATAATGCTGCCGTGTGTCGTATGGTGAGTGCACAGAACCGGAGACCCTTATTACTGGAAACGACGCATTTCATCTCATTCCTCAGGGGTGACAACGCATCTGCATTTTGATTCTTAATTGAGGATAAATGTGGATTGTGTGCTCGTTTGTCCTTATGCTATTAAAAAAAATCAAAGTTCATAGTTGGTTACGTATTTCTTAAGAGACTAAACTTGTTACCGTAACGGCGCTACTTATCAGGTTTCGTGAGTATCATAAGAGTCTATTAAAATGATATTGGGAAGCCACCAGATTGGGATAAGGGTGGATAAACTGGTTTGACTGGTTGTCAATGTAATAACAGGACATAGTTTTTTTTTTTAAATATGATAAGAGTGACAAGCGAGCACACAGTCCACCTGATGGTAAGTGTTTGCTGTGGCCCATAGACAATCTATATTTATCCTCGTTTGCGAATCAAAATGCAGACGCGTTGTCAGCCGTGAGGACTAAGATGGAATGTCTCTTTTCCACTAAAAGGGTCTCCGGTTCTCTACACTCACCATACGAAACACAGCAGTGTTAAGCCGCTTTTTTAAGCTGGTATTCTCTGTGAGAGCGTGGTCCTTCCCCGGTCGAGCCGACCCATACGTGCTACAAATATACAACGAATATGGCTGCAGCATGGCTCTACCACGTATAAACGTTCTTATATAAACAACTCTTTGTTATAAGTGTTATAAAGCCCTTTATGCTCAGCCCTTATGAAGAATAGAGAAACTAACAAATAGAAATATATAATCTATACAAATAAATAAAATTGAAGTGTCTGTTTGTAATGTCAAAATTAAAGATTTTTACAAAATGCATATGAAAGTAAATACGGTACCTATAACCAAAATACAATTTTTAAAATTTTTGTCTGTCTGTCTGTTTGTTCCGGGTAATCTCCGAAACGGCTGGACCGATTTTGACGGGACTTTCACTGGCAGATAGCTGATTTCATAAGGAGTAACTTAGGCTACTTTTTTTTTTTAGAAAATGTATTAGGGTTCCGTGCAAAAACATAAAAACCCTAACACGCCAGCGAAGTCGCGGGGAACAGCTAGTAATAGAATATAGAAAATGTGACCTGCCACATTTACGGTTGTCAGCTACTTAAATAAGTACCACCGAGGTCACTATCCAAGGTCATTTGTAACAAAAACTTACTAATGTTCCTCGGGGAGCTCGGGTGGCTTAATAATAATTATCATAACCACACACAAAATTCGTGCTTAATCTATCGATCAATCAATCAAAATACTATGATCAACGTCAGAAATCAGTGAAAGATCCATGAGTTTTTGTACTCTAATTGTTACATACACAATTACTTTCTACAATGGGAGAAGTCTATGATTATGATTATGATGGCAACTGTATTGAAAAATGTTTAATTAAATAACAGAATTTATTATTAACGTGATAATATGTATTAATAAACTATATTTTAGCTTATTAAGTACCTACCTGGTGCGCTTTCCAGACTTTGAGTACAGGCATACCAGCTATGGGTGAATTAGGATCATCTTCAGCTGCACTATTGACAGTGTCATTAGCACCTATAAATTAAAATGAAATTGAACGAGTTTAATTAGACAATAAAAAGGAAAAAATATATTTAAGTAGAACATGGTAAGGTAAATACATAGATGTTATGATGTTTTATTTTAGGGTTCAGTGTGAAGATTGGGTTTACTTGATCATTTTCAGTGGCAAGTAAAATTAGTAGGAATCAGGAAGATAGTTGCCGTGTTGGTTATGGTGGCTGACAAAAGTTGGAGACCCTTATCTACATAGAACGTCATTATAATTATGAGAGGTGTAATTGCACCTGTATCTTGATATAGATAAGGTTTAATTTGTAAGTGCTGTGACGTTTACAAATATCAATCGCAAAAACTAAAAAAAATATATAAAAACAAGCTTTATTACATTATTGGCTAACCAAACTTCAGTTGATACTTACCATTAGGTGGATTGTAAGTTCGTTTGCCACTTCAGTTTAAAAAAAATATATACTACATACATACCAATTACAAGTACAAGGTCAGTCTCAGGGAACTCGTCATTGATTTCTTCCATTTCAAAGACATCATCGTACGGCACACCGGCCTCGGCGAGCAATACGTTGAGTTGTCCAGGCATTCGACCTAAATAAAAATTATAGTAAGGACAAAGTTATTTCTACTTAAATGTCTGATTATTATTTTTACCGTGTGGTGACTGTGTATAAGTCTCGATCATCCCTTTCTATTCCGTAGGTATTGTAGAGAGGCAACAGTGAGAACTGCCAGAAAGCTCGTATGGCTATGGCTATATGGCTCTTATTGATGTTATAACACAGAGAGAAACCGAGACGAGGAAAGGCAGCAGCGTCAAAAGTGTGAGATATTTCGTATTGTCAATCCTCCTGCCATGTTGATGTCATATAGAATACCTTGAGTTTCCTCATCCGACCAGCTGTGAACCACGTCTTAGTTCCATAAATCATCACTGGCAACACGCACTGGTTGTACAGTCTCGTGTTCAAGTTTTGAGGTGTACTTGACGAGAAGATGTGCCGTAATTTCCCGAACTCTGCTGCCCAGCCGAGTTGAATCCGTCGATTGACCTCTCGGTCGAAGTTGGACTTACCTAGTCTGACTATTTGTTCCAGGTAAACATACTCGTCAACAACTTCGAGCTTAGTGCTCCCAACAACTACCGGTATGGGCGTCATACATGAGCTTTGTTTTGTCCATGTTCATCTTAAGACCTATCCGTTGGGAGGCACTATTGAGGTCATTGAGCATAGTGCCTAGGTCCTCCAGCGATTCTGCCATAAGGACTATAACGTCGGCAAATCGAAGGTGAGTGATGTACTAGCCATTGATGTTAGTACCGTATCCTTTCCAGTCCAATAGCTTGAAAATGACTTCCAATGCATTCGTGAAGAGTTTCGGGGATATAAGGTCACCCTTTCTTTCACCTCTCTGCAGTTGGATAGGTTTCGTGGTTTGATTCTGTACTCGGATAGTAATCGTAGCTCTACTGTACAAACACTTCAGCACTTCGATATACCGACAGTCAACTTGGCACCGCTGAAGGGACTGCAGCACCGCACAAATTTCGACTGAATCAAAAGGCTTTCTCATAGTCCACGTACGTCAGCCATGGTGGCAAATTGTACTCCTCGGACTTCTGTACAATTTGCCGAAGGGTATGTATGTGATCTATGATACTTAATGCTTTTCGGAAACCGGCTTGTTCGGGAGGCTGGAAGTCGTCGAGTTTGTATGCGAGACGATTCGTAATGACTCTCGAAAAAAGCAAGTAAACGCGGCTCAGAAGGGAAATCGGTCTGTAGTTCTTCAAGAGAGCATTGTCGCCTTTCTTGAAGAACAAGACCACCGCACTTCTGCTGCACGCCTACAGAGTAGTGCCACCATGGAGGACGGAATTAAAAAGCTTCTGAAGGAATTCAAGTACCGGTTTTCCACCCGCTTTCAGAAGCTCCGCTTTAGTTCCATCTTCGCCTGGGGCCTTGCCGTTTTTCAGGTGCTGGGGAGCCATTCTAATCTCGCTCAGCCTGTCTGGAATATCATCGGTATAGTGTCGGATAAGACTTACTCTTGGATCGTTACTCACCACACTTGCGTGTGGCTCCAAAGATGATGTGTACAGCTGTCCATAGAACCTCTCAATCTCACTTAAAATCTCAGGTGTCTCGGAAACGACACTGCCACACTCGGTCTTCAGCTTTGACAGTTGGCTCTTTCTGGCATACAGATCTCTAGCAAAGACTTTGGAGCCCTGGTTTCGCTCGATCGTTTTTTCAATACGAGCAGTATTAAAGTTGCGTAAGTCCCGCCGCATGCATTTGGAGATCTGTCTGTGCAGTTGCCTCTCTTCTTGTTGTCAAATCTACTGAAGACTGCAGCTTCATTTCCCGTCTAACAGCCATGAGAATAAGAGTGTGATCGGAGAGTTTTTGTGTTCTTCTGCGGCGGGTCTTGCAAAACTTAGCTCCGACCACATGGACAGTTTCCACGAGCTTGTCATTCATATCGTCCACTGCATTGCTATCTTCTAGGCACTGAAAACGGTTTTGTAGCTCGAACTGAAAGTTTTCGGGACTTTGGATTAGAGCACAAGGGGAACGGAGCATTAATTTCATTAGACGTGACCTCTCCAACTTAACGTTTAGGTTCAGTGTGCCTCTCACCATTCGGTGATCGCTGCCGGTTTTCACCCTCGCGATCACTGAGATATCACTGAACAGTTGTCGTCTGGTCGTCATAATGAAGTCAATCTCATTTTTTGTCAAACCGTCGGGGCTCGACCAGGTCCACTTCCTGCGGGGCCACTTCTGGAAGAAAGAGTCCCTCTTTCTCCATGAAGTCGGCCAGCTGCTGGCCCTTTGGATTCCGTTGCCCTATTCAAAATTTCCCGACCTTTAGCTAACCGTTTTCTCTTGTGCCTAGTTTAGCGTTGAAGTCTCCCATTAACACCGTATAGTGGGTATTGGAGTAATTCATGGCTCTAGATATATCCCCTCATACATTTCCTCCACCTCCTCATCGGGATGTGCCGAGGTTGGTGCGTGGTATCATCAGGAAATAATACTACATCGTGATTGTCCCCTACAAGATAAGGTAAGTCATTATTAATATAGACTAAGAACAGGAATGGGCCAAGAATCGAGCCCCGAGGAACGCCCATTGATACTAATAATCCGGAGAAACCTTTACCATTGATAACGATTTTTTGAGTTCTGTTGTTTGAAACACACTAGATTCGATACTAGTATAAAAATAATAGCAAGATGAGGTGCAATTAAATCTATTATAGATGCAATAACTGTAACGGAATTTCCCATAAATCTGCGGTTTTCTTTACATCAAGGGCTTTCAAATATTTTACAATATCTCGTGGTAATACTTTTCAAATTTAAATTCTTTTAAACAGGTGTTAACATTCTGTTTGAGTAATTAATCGGCGACAGTTGGAGAATTATTCAATGACTTTGTTGTATGTAATTTGTAAGTCAAGCTGTCAATACGAGACATGTTTCTGGTCTATACAATATGTCTCGTGTGGGATACTATACTTATATCTAGAAGTAGACTTTTAGGGCTGATGATATTATTTAAAAAAATGTATTGTGTATTTTGTTAAACTCACCAGCAACTGGATGGATGGCAAAGCGCACCTTCTTCCCGCTAGCTTTGAGATGCTCAACTAGCTCAGCAATGGGATATTGAGCTTTTGCTACACAAAGTCCGTATCCTGCAAAACCATCATATTTGTTTCACTGATTAAGATACAGAGGTTAAGTAAGGATTAGCTCATATAAAGTAAAAAATACTTGATCAAGTTTTACTCATAAAAGGATAATGAACTAAATCATGACCAAAATAAAGCTGAAAATAGAGTGCAAGAGACAATTTCCTGGCATATGTCCGCGTAGGTATAATCCACACGGCCACGCGGGCAGTCGCAAACATGTTCGAATATATCGAAATGCCTAAGCGATTTTCACTGTACCACTTTTTTTTAAATTCAGTTTAAAGTTTATTAAAGAGAAATAAAAACAGTATGTACCTACTACATACTGTTTATAACATTTGGCAACCCTAATTATCCTACTGACCGGGTGTGATGATGATGGAAGAAGCGCGATGTATGAGGTCTGCGACGGAGTCCACGTTGAGTTCTGTGTGCGTGGCGTCGGCCGGCCGCGCCGACCCGCCCGTCGTCACACCGTACCCGCCCAAGATCACATTTGGCAGTGACCGATTCATGGCCTTAACAGAAATATTACTTCTATTCAAATATTTTCTCAATGTAAGAAATGTTAGTGTTTTCTTGACCAATTTCAGACTATGGCGACAATTTCCAAATAATCGAAAACTACCAACTGCACTAGTGCCACATTTTCATTCATTCGTGCCAGCTTATTAAAATTCCACTGCTGAACAAAGGTCTATCCCATAGATTGCCCCATAGCGTGAATATTTTCCACAGTTATCACGCATGGCAGGCGCCTTACCAAATAACACCACCTTCGTGATGTTACGGGGCAGTGGATTCTTTTTCAGGGCGCCACAATACGTGAGACATTGACTAGTATTAACCTATCTGTGCCTAATGTAACTGTAAAGGTTGGAGACTGATTAGGGAGGCAGTGTCAAAGAAATTTAACACATAACAAAGCACGATGATTTACATACAGTTAGTACGGATAAAGAATGGGATTAGAAATAGCGGCTCATCAGGTCCGTACCGTCAACAAATATAGTACCAATAGCGAAAACCCGCTAATAACGGTATATCGTTATAATGTTATATTATTCGGTTAATTGGAAATTTTCTATTAATGGGAAAATATTTGAAAAGAATTGTATACGCAAGTAGGTACATCAATTTTAAAATAACATTTAGGCATAACTAGTGACACGTTCTGGCTTCGCCTGGGTGGGATTTAGTAATGTGGCGTTATTTAGACTTAAAATAATAATTAAAAACCATTTATTTTATCTTGTGAATATTTTTATTTTAATAAAATTTATAAATTTTTCAGGTAACATTTAGTCTAGATCACTTCTGGACACTATTTGTTCGTAAAGTTTTATTACAATCGGTTCAGCCATTCCGAAGATTAACTCGGACAGACAGATGAAAGATTTTTTTTAAATTGTGTTTCCTAATGATTTCTTATATTTACGCGACCATTTAAATAAAACTAGTTTTTACGGATTTTATCGCATATATTAACTTATTTTATTATTAAATGATTACTCATGTCTCAATAACATGCAAATATATTATACAATAATATTAACAAAGAAAATCAACAATAATTATTTTTAAAAAATATGCTCATAACGCGTCGTAGGTCACAAATTAGCGAAACCGGACTGAATTTTTTTTCGTATTTATGGATTTTGTTAGCATTGATTCCAATTACAAGTTGGAATGCAGTAATAGAACATACGAAAAACACATATTATCGCAACGTAGTTTTCTTTACAGACGTTACCTGCGGGTGTCAGTATAGATAGCGACAGTGTGCGAGCGAGAGGTGAATAGAGGCGACGCCATTTTCAATCCCATTCTTTACCCGCTCGGGTAGTATTGTTTTTTCCCCAAAAATTTTGACTCTAGCCAAGATTAGGAGTCAGGAATCGCAGCATAGTAGTCTGTCTATTAGGGCATATGGTTATTAAAATAAATGGCGATGCAGAAAATACATATAAAAACTTCGAGGGGTCCAATCACTAAAAGTTTAATACGAAGCTTTGTGATAAAAGCGATTAAGTACTATTAAACCCACAACAATTATTGTTACAGTCCAAGTCAATAGTAAGTTTTTTTTTAATAACATACAGACATTCGCGACATGTACCTTGCACATGATGTAGGAGAGTATGGCTCCCGAGCTGCCGATAAGTGCACCGACGATCGTCATTAGCGAGTTGTTAAGCATGAAGCCCTCCGCGCACAGCGCCCAGCCAGAGTAACTGTTCAGCACCGTGATCACCACCGGCATGTCAGCCCCTAAGTGTGTGTGAATAACATATAATATGAAATATATGCTTTACCGTTTTCAAAGTAAATGTTATTTTACTAGAGATTTTTAAGTTCGTAGTTTCAATAATCAATTATAACAATGAGGAAAAACGAAGATAATAATGATATTGAGAAGTGTCATAGATGCTGCAGAACATACATTATTCACACTTAAAAATGGGTAGGTTAAGTCTAGATGAGACCAAAGGGGACACTTAATTGCTATTGGATTCAATAATAATCACTGATTATAACCTCCATATTACATCAGCTCATAGCTGGATGTAGGCTTATTCCATAGTAAAGAGAATTATTTATAACCACCACGGCTGGCAGAAGAATTAGCGACCGCAGAATCATAAGTCTTGAACTCTCGCTGATCTGTGTGTGTATAAATTAATACGAGATGGTTATGTCAACCTATAAAGGAGTTTAGGAAAATGTTCGAGAATTAATTTGAACCAGCCGATTCTTAATTCTTACCCATGGAATTGGAAGGGGTAAAGAATTAAACTGAAACTACAAGACGAGAAAACCAATTAATAAATGCACTCATTTCACTTTTGAGGACAAAGATTGCACAGGCGTATCAATATATAATAATAGGCTTGCAATTATGTTACTTTTAGCTTTTAGGTTGGAAACTTTTCAGACCACCCTTGTATTCGTTTGACACCTTTGTGGCCGGTGTAAGGAAAAGGGGAGATCTCCAGCTGGGCAAGGGTTCTGCCCGGGCAGCGGCCAACGCTTTTAGGTAAGAGCCGTAGTACTTCAGATTTAACTGCCAGCTCATCCGGTACCTTGAGGATCACCAGCTGATTAGTGACCGCCAATACGGTTTTCGTCGGGGTCGATCAGCTGGTGATCTTCTGGTCTACCTGACCCATAGATGGGCGGAGGCAGTAGAGTCCAAGGGGGAGGCGTTGGCCGTTAGTCTGGACATTGCGAAGGCCTTCGATCGGGTTTGGCACAAAGCGCTTCTTTCGAAGCTCCCTTCCTATGGGCTTCCCGAGAAATTGTGCAATTGGATCACCAGCTTCCTTGTAGATCGGAGCATCAAGGTCGTTGTAGACGGTGCATGCTCTGACTACAAGCCTATTAACGCTGGTGTTCCACAAGGCTGTGTGCTATCACCAACGCTGTTTCTTCTGCATATCAATGATATGTTGCTAACTGGTAACATTCATTGCTATGCGGATGACAGCACTGGTGATGCTCTATACACCGGCCGTGCCAATATTTCTCGGGAAAACGTCGCTGAGTACCGGAACAAACTTGTGTCTGAAGTCGAGTCTTTGCTGAACAAAGTCTCGGATTGGGGGCAACTAAATCTAGTCCAGTTTAATCCTCAGAAGACGCAAGTTTGCGCGTTTACCGCTAAAAAGAACCACTTTGTCGTATCTCCTCAGTTTCAAGGCACTCCCCTTCTTGCCTCAGCCAGTATCGGTATCCTCGGAGTCGACATATCGCGTGACGTGCAGTTTCGTGGTCACTTGGAAGGGAAGGCCAAATTGGCCTCTAAAAAGCTTGGCGTGCTCAGCAGAGCGGGACAGTATTTCATGCCGGCACACCGCCTGCTACTTTACAAGGCGCAAGTTCGGCCTCACATGGAATACTGTTCCCATCTCTGGGCAGGGGCTCCCCAGTGCCAGCTCCTTCCACTTGACCGCATCCAACGCAGAGCGGCTCGAATTGTCGACGACCGAGCCCTTTCCGATCGGCTCGATTCATTGGCACTGCGAAGAGATGTTGCATCCCTTTGCATTTTCTTTCGCATCTACCATGGGGAGTGCTTTGAGGAATTGTTCGGATTAATCCCAGCCGCCAAATTTCACGAACGCATATCGCGGCAGAACTCCCGATACCATCCACACCATCTGGATGATTGGCGGTCCACCACTGTGCGATTTAGAAGATGTTTTCTTCCTCGCACGACCTCCTTGTGGAATCGATTACCATCAGCGATTTTTCCGGACCGATACGACTTAGGGACCTTCAAGAAAAGAGCGTACTCCTTTTTAAAAGGCCGGCAACGCATCTGCGATTCCCCTGGTGTTGCAGTTGTTCATGGGCGGCGGTAGTCACTTACCATCAGGTGAGCCGCATGCTCGTTTGCCCCCTCTCCTATAAAAAAAAAAAAGATGTTTAGCGCTCGCTATAAATTTCACAGTACGCGAGCAACCCGGGACCAATGAAATTGTTAATTGCAATTTTAAGTGCTGATTTACCATGTGCTCGGTGGTGAAGGAAAACATCGTGAGGAATCCTGCACGTCTGAGAAATAAGAAAAAAATATTTCAAAGACATGTGAAGTTTGCCAACACGTATTGGGGCAGCGTGGCGGACTCTCAGAAATGAGAGGAGGCCTGTGCCCAGCAGTGGGACGTATATAGGCTGTAACTTTACTTTTAGCTTTTAGGGGCGACGTAAGAGAATTCATCACCGTATTTTCATCCAGACTATGGGAAATACCAGAAAATCTTATCGTTTTTAATCGTTTGGCAGTATATTAATCAATTCATTTTCACCAGATGTAAAATATCCAGACCGACAACGGCCGGCAGCGTCAAAGATACTGCGATCGTTTTACGGTTCCGTGGCAAAGTGACTTAGCATTGCGTTGGCGCGCTAAAGAAGCAGAAGTAGCGCGGTACCTCCGATGGCGGCGGTGAGCGTGAGGCCCTGCACGGCGCTGAGCGCGGCGGCGGCGGCCAGCAGCGGCAGGCCGGGCGCGTGCGGCAGCGCCACGAGCGCGCCGCCGCAGCCCAGCGCGCCCGCCAGCAGCGCCGCGTTCAGCGCGTGCCGCCCCGGCAGCAGCAGCGGCGCCGACGACAGCGTGCCCTGCAGCTTGCCGTACGCCACTAACGACCCTCTGTATCATTCGTACCAATTCTTGTTACCATTTTGTAACTTTACGAAAATATTCATCGAGTAAGCCTTCTTAAAATAAATAAATTAAGTAATATCTACATATTTACAAGTTTCTTCCTATTTCTAATAAAATATGTTATCATACTATTTTAAAAATTTATTGCTTTCCCTTAGAAAAAACAAGATCATAAAATAAGGAGGAGGACGGACTTAATGCCTAAAAGCATTCTCAAATCTCAACCAGTCAACCCATGGAGTGGTGAAAATTTGACGTAGGTGTAACAATGGAAAAAAAAAAGAAAGAAACTAAAATAAATACACATATGTATTGTAAAAAAATATATTACGATCATGAAATTAATACTTTTTAAAAAAATAAAATTGTCCTTCGTGTGTAGTCACATGCAGGAAATAGCCTCCTTTTTTATTGGATAAAGGTGACAAACGAGCACAGAGTCCATTGCTGCGGCCCGTAGACATCTACATCTATCCTCGATTACGAATCGACGAAATATATATATATTAATACGAAATGTCTCCTTGAAATTTCTTTTGTTGTTTTCTGTTTATTATTTTTCTAATAATGAGTGCGTGAGATCCGAGAAAACATGTAGCGCATGCGTCATGAAATAAAAGTGAGCATTAGAAAATAATAAATAGGAAACAACAAAAGAAATTGGAAATTTCAGGGACTGGATTATCTTTCTCTTCTACTCACTCCTAACCAAGTTCCGAGTTTACTTGCTATCTCTCTCAGGCGCGGCATTCATATGTGCAAGGATGGGCTCGGGTAGCAATATCAAGGTCAACATGAGTACCTCTATGTTATTCATAGAGAAAAATAATACTCGTTCATTGTCAAAAATAAAAATTATTTAACATAAATAACAGTGGATAAAATTGATTAACTTGAAAACCTGTTTTGTTGTTACTTTTGATTCCATATCTCCAATTTTGGTCACAATCTCTAAATTTTACAATATTCTGAGATGTACTGCAAAATAAAACTAAAAACTTTCATCGAAAAATTAGGCCCTTCAGCATTGAAATAGCAATAAATTTTTTGTTTTATTAAAAATTGTTTTATTGTTTTTAAATCTTCATTCATTGCACTATTTTTCAAGCCAATGTTCATCAAGGATGTAGTACTTTTTTTAACACCACAGTATACCTTGGCTGAAAAATCTTGTCTCGTAGAAATTTACAACTTCAATATTTTTTTGTAAAGGAACTGTTCACGTTGTTGTGAAACTGCAATAAACATGTAGAAACAGAAATAATATTCAATAAAAAAAAAAACATTTTCGCTATTTCAATGGAATGGCATAAATTATACGTATTATAGTTTATGGTGATAAGTTTTCGATAAAATCATGAAAATCAAAAATCTTGAAAACTGTAACAGTTTTATTAAAAAATGTTTATCTGTTCTCATAGCGTACAATCTCATCTCTCGCTACATTTCGTTTGGACTACTATTTACAGGACAACCTGCTGCCATTTTGTTCGATTACTTGCCATCTTGAAGGTAGCGACATAATCCCGTTGCTGTAGAAAGAACAATGACAGAAAAATTGTTGACAAAAATTATTGCGTCTAGAAATAAGTTATATATAAAATGAGTTTTATTATTTTTTTATGATTTTTCAAATAAAAGTGTATTTTAATTAAAGCCACAGAAAAAAAAATTTGGGAATATAAAATGACTTAAATCATTTTACTCTATTCAAGTGTTGCGATTTACTATATTCATACTATTTTCTTATACACTTTGTAAGACTACCAACACAACACAAACACAAACTATTTTTATATTAAGTTATTATTAGTAATAACTATACTGTTCACGCCCTTAGCTGCCCCAACAAAGGTCGACTGGACCAGGGCCCATGAGTGATCCCCTCGACGAGCAACAGAGGGCGGGGTCCAATGGCCTATGGATTATTATTAATGGCTGTTAAGAAAACAAAACTTACCGAGGTCCTGAGGTAGGGTTGACCACAGGGTACCAGTCAGGTGGTAAGTGAATGGATGTAAAGTGGTGTGTGAAAGTGTGTATTAATGTCACCTGACTTAACCGAGGTAGTCGGACAGCAGATCCACCGGCGCTGTTTTCTCCAAATGTACGATCCCTCCAGTGGGCATTCACCAATTGAAACTTTCAACTTTTATTTCACTATATTAGTTTATCAATTTTATTATACATTTAATTAATTAACTTCAAATTCAACTAAATCAGCGTTAATTGAACTTAAAACAAGTGACACACTGCTCAACTTAAGAACTGTCGGTCAAGGTTCAATGTTCCAGGTTCACTTAGCAACAAATTATCATCGAGCACACGACAAACAAAATTCCTTCGCACAATATGAAGATGCCACAAGCAACTCGTCGACGCAAATTAATGTCAATCTAAGTTAAATTAATAACTCAAAACTCAAGAATCAGCCTCGTTGACACGTAAAACGAACGAAAATAGACAACACTATGAGAGGCACTTAACGCGACGTTACGATTCAATAATAACTTCCAAAAGCAAATTAACCGACCGGCCGTCGCACGACAATGAATGTTCTAGGCGTCTCGATCGTCGCGCTCTCGAATGGAACCCGAGAGGGAGGGGGCAGGTGGTGACCTTGGTACTATCGGAGGCACGCGCGGAGTCGTGTTTTGAATGTTTTAATTTTTAATATTAGGCCTAAACATATACTATCAGTAATAATAAAAATAAAAGTGATATGGTTGAAAATAAGTCTCTCACAAAGAACTTCCTACAGTAATACATTATCTCAATCATAGTAATATGTAACAATTCCATTTAATGTCATGGCAACACTAACTAAAACAAAATGTCACTGAATTTTTTACTGGCTTTACGACTCTGGGTTCTAGTCCTTCTGAGAATGTCACTGTATGGCACAAAGGCCCTGGATTTATGCCAGAAATATACATTTATAGTATGCAATTATATAATAGAGACACAATAATCTATCACATTATGTGGCGAATGTATTAAGCTAACATCAAACAACCACAGGACGCATGACTTTTATCAAGTGACATAAGATATAACCTATAAAGGTTCAAATCGAAATATGATTATTTTGACGCCTTCTCAGGACAAAAATTTTTGACAGAGTTGTTAAGGGACTTACGCTTAACATTTTAAGATATTTTTGATATATAGACGCTACCATTCCCTCTCAACTAATTTTATGTATGAAAGTCTGCCATTCTTCTTTTAAGAATTTTGATTAAAAAAATGCGACTAGTAGTTTTGACAGTCCTCTCTTGATGTTAACCCAACACTACCCACAGAATCATGAAGAGACCGAAACAGGTGAAAAACTGAGATCAGGACTATATGGACTGGTGGATGCATTAACACTTCCCAACCAAGCTCTCTCAATTTTCACTGAGTGGCCAAAGATGTGTGTGGTTTGGCGTTATCATTATGAAAGACCACTCGTTTTCTGTTGATCGATTCCGGCCGTTTTTTCTCAATTTATTTCTTGAGTCTCATTAGTTGTTGGCAGTAGACCTCCGAATCGATGGTCTTGCTCGGCGGTAAAAGCTCATAATAAACGATGCCCACCCAATCTCCACCATACACACAGCATCACCTTATTGCGTGTTAATCCGGGTATCGCTACAGTCTGTGGAGCTGGACTATCCTTTGACCATGATCTTTTTCGCTAGTTCTTGTCGTAGGTGATCCACTTTTCATCACCAATGATCAATCTTTTCAAAAATGGTTCGTTTTCATTACGTTTCAATAGAGAATCGCAAATGAGTACACGATTCATTAGATTTCTTTCAGTGAGCTAGGTACCCAATAAACGAGCTTTTTTATATAGCCAGACTTTTTCAAATGGGTGAAAACTATTTTGTGGTCAATCCTCAATTCCTCAGCTATGTCGTAACTACTAATATGTCGATCTTGCTCCACTTTTTCAAAAAATGGCATCGACTTTATCCGTATGAGGGCGACCAGAACGAGCTGTATCTTTGACATCAAAATTCCCGAACTCAAAAAGCTTGAACCAACTTTGTGCTACTCTTACTGCTACTGCATTAGGTCCATAAACGTTACAATTTTTTTTTCGCGGCTTGCGTCGCATTTTTCCCTTTTTTGTAATAAAACTTTAGAACGTATCGAATTTCGTAGTTAGATTTACTCATTTTGGCGGACAGAAAAACAATTGGAAAATGGCGGGGAAAGTATTTTTAACCTTTTATTTTTCTTAATATTCTATATGTATTGATATTAAAACTAGCCCGATACAAACAGTACAACTAAAAAATTTTTCATAAATTTTATACAAACAAAATACGAAAAAACTTTTTCCCCGACCTATTACATAGAAAAAGCAGTTGAATTTATTTAATTTAAAACTTACGTAAAGGTAATGCCTCCAATGTAAGTGCCGAGGAAGAGAGCTGTCTTGAGTGTCGTGGCTGTAGGGTCGAGTGCCATCGCTGGGAAGTCGTGCATGTATGTAGCAATGCATGTCAGTACAGCTGCCATGCCCACCAAGCTGAGAAAAATATTAATAAAGAAGCAATGTAGTCTTTTGAAGCTTAATTAAAGAGTATAATATAATGTAACAGCCTATGTTCGGCATATATACGTATATGGGGATGCAGATATTCCTAAGAACAACTCCAAATAATAATAAAAAAGCGAGTTCGACTCGCACTTGGCCGGTTCCGAACAAATCCGTAGGTAAATTATTAAAAATATTTTTATTATATGATGTAACTAAAAATTTATGCTTTTCGCAATTTTTCCTTTATCTGTGCTATAATACGTTGCTTCGTACCAAATTTTAAGATTCTGAGTTCACGGGAAGAACCCTGTAGGTTTTGATTCCCTTGCGAATGTCGAAAATTTGCGGCATAAACCACTGTATCTTTTGATTGCGTTGGCTTAAAGTTTGATATTTTCACAGCTCCAAGGGACAGTAGACTTGAGTATTTGATATGAATTTTAGCTTGATACCTCCACGCGTTCCTGAGAAAAAGGGTCTTGACAGACAGACAGACGGACAACAAGGTGATCCTATAAGGGTTCCGTTTTTTCCTTTTGAGGTACGGAACCCTACAAATGCAGTTGCAAACACGCCAGCAAAACGTGCCAGAGTGCAGCCAACTATGGCAAATATTCCCCCTGTGATGCAACCTGTAGGGAGGAGGATGTTCAACAGTGAACTTTCAGGTTTAAATGAACGATGATGTAATATTCTGTTCGGCACAGACATTTTTCTTTGAATTTTGCAGTATGTTTCAATCCATTATGCCTTGAATAGAGTGCATGCAATTAAAATATTATTATTATATTATTATACTAGCTGGTACTCGGCATTATGTTGCCACAGAAGAAATAATTGTGAAAATATCGTTTTAAATTTGGAACAGTTATTTGTTTAATTACGAATGATAGATAATACATTCATTGAAGTTGAATGATATATAACACTCAAATAAATTTTTCAGTACGATACGCGTGCTACCTACTGTAATTTAATTGTACTATACCGGGTGTTAGTGAAACACTCCCGAAAACGAAGACAGACGATAGTACTAACGATACCTTTGATGATGGGTCAGAAAGAAAATCGATCCCGAGGAAAAAAAAATCTTTTCACAACGTTTTATTAGCTTTATTCACAATCCGTCATGTTGGTACAGCTAAATGAAACGATAATTTCATTAAAAAAAAACATGAAAATACTTAAACAAAAAACCAGCTGTGTAATTTAAATCAGCTAACCAAGTTCAATATTCGCGCGGACGCCGAACTCTTTTATGTAGCTCAATACGAAACTAACGAAACAATGCATTAGGTATTACTACTCACTCTACCCTTCCCTTTCACACACGCACCGCCGCCGACTCGTGTCGGCCGGGCGGCGGCAGCGCACACATTTCAACGTTGCCAACGTGTGTGGAATTCCCCAAATTGCGGGGAATTTAAAATTGGTTAGGGATTTTATAGGGAGTGGAAGAATTAGAGGAGGCAATCACAATAAAGACAAATACTTCCAATATTTTTTAATATTTTGACGTACCTCTTTTTAAATTCAAAATGTTGGACGGATTAATAACGAAAAGTTAATAAAATATAGTAAAAGATTTTTTTTAGATTAATTCTGATAGATAATTAACTATCGATTATAATTGCAATTGATTTTAACTATTAAATTATTCTGTACCATCTATTTTCTTGTACAAAGTAAAAGATAACGATGAAATAGTGTTTATAATTGTGTAAGTGAGAACCCAATTAGGTACGTTTATGAATTTCAATATCATTTTTGTAGTAACGAACTGCTTGTTGCGTCAGGGTACGTATAGATAGTGGTAAAATAGTAGGTTAAGTAAATAAGTTAGGTATTTAGGCAAGTGTTGTAAATTATTAGATATTTGTACGATCGCTAGCTGCGGGCCGCGCGCATTCGGCGTCCGCGCGATTATGGACCCTAGTCAGCGGATTTAAATTACACTGCTGGTTTTGGATAAGTTCACTTGACCGAGCGGTACCGCGCGCGGAACTATCGACCACACGGTACAAGATCTAAGTAAAAAGTAGCGTTAGTACTATTGTCTGTCTTCGGTTACGGGAGCGTTTCACAAACAGCATGTATGTCTATAACTTTCTCACAAGTGCAAAAGCAATAAATTGAAAAAGTTTTAGCGCAATCTGATGAACGCATAAAATACGCACAAACGAATATTAATTTTTATATATTAGATTATAATCCTTAAGCGCGTGTTAGTGATTTTGTAACATTGTATTACCACAGAATTGCATAGGAACAAACTATAAACTGTATAAATCATTAAAATGTAATGATAAAAAATGTAACAATAAAAAAACTCTAATTAATAATTATGTACTAAGTAAAAACACAATGAATATGAGTATGAATGAGTTTGAAGTGCTGGATAATTTCGATGAGGTTAATTTGTACATGTTAATTTTCATTGTGTGGTTTGTGCTAAAAAATGAATACTGATTACTGTATGAACAATAAGCTAATCGGACAGCGGGACTAGCACCGCCGCCCCCGCGATCACTTTACACCACCTAGCAGATTGGAAAACGGTCACTAAGCATTTTAGGTCTGTGCTCCTAATCCATACTACTTGTTTGAAAAGTACTTACCTGTGGAAACCAGCCACAAGCTGGGGCAGATCAGTAATTTCAATTTTCTTAGCAATGACACTACCGAGAAGGCCGCCGATACCAGCGACACCTATCATTTGTGCCAGGACCTCCGCGTTAGGAGTCAAGGCACCTAACGTAGCTGCGATTCCTCCCGCTACACCGATCTAGAATAGATATTACAACTTACTCTCTTTTATAAGGTTACATTATGTAAAAAAAAATGGTAATTTAATGCAACCTCATATTACTAAAGAATCATCAACATAGTGACGAGCTAAAACTCAAGTTGCCTCGTTGTTGATGAAAATTGTACAATAATGGCTAACACATTAATTTAAACTTTACAATTTACGTGATGTTGATGATGCTAAGCCAAAATTGATGATCATAACATAAATACTACATATTTTCAGTAAAAAATCGTTAAAATCTATTTAATATTTAAATAATAAGAAAAAGAATAAGCTAAGGTTGTGCTATTATGTAGGAGTTATGTTTTTAAGATCATAATGTCTCACTGCCTTTACAATGATCAATAGATTAAAGCTAAAGTCATCAAGATTACAATGAGCGGGTCTTGAGTCGAGTCTTGTAGCTGTGTCACGCTCTTATGAATGCCTTTTCTAATCATCGGTTGCATTGTTAATGTTATAAAGTATCTATTGCTAAATCTTATAAAATATTAAGCAAACATACCATTCCAAGGTAGTTTCCTTTTCTAGCGGTAGTTTGGGAGCTGAGACCTGCAAGTGCGCCCACGCAGCAAAGTGATGAGGCTAGGTAAGCCATCTGGTGCACTTCTGGATATCCCTACCAATTAAAAGGCGAATATAGTAACTTTAATTGGACATTTAAAAAACCCCCGAAACAAAAAGAGCTGATGATATTCAAATGAACCATTAAAGATTTTCTTGAATCATAACTAAGAGAAAATTCTTGATCAAGTTACTTTTCAAACAAAAAAAAACTAAATCTAAATCGGTTCATCCTTTCTACCTATGATGGCATAGACAGACACACACATAAACACGTTACACATGTAATAACCCCTCTGTTTGCGTCGGGGTTTAAAAACACATCTAGTTACAGTATGCAATAGCAACAGTCTGCATATATTTTACAACATAATTATTTACTGTCAAACAATAAATGTTTTGAATAGTATGTTTCTCTTTCCTTTTCTAAATATTTACAAAAAGTAACGACTGTCATATGAAAAATTATAGAAATTTCTCAGTACGATTTACCTGCATTGCAGTAGTTATATATCCTCCTAGAAGTGCAGCAGCTGGTATTCCATATAAATAACCATATTCCGGCGGATCACCAGGCCTAGAAGATTAAAAAAAATAGTTGATTTCAAATTTTATAATCTCTGCAATGTATTAATAGAAAATGACAAAACATTGTACTGTAACATTGATTCTTCACTAGATAAAGCAAATTTACGATGCAGATGGTGAAGACAAGTGTGAAATACCTTTTGAACATATCAAGCATACGCTGTGTGACTAAGAATCCACCAAATACATTCACGAAGGAGATTAGAGCCGCAGTGCTCGCCAGCCACTGAAAAGCAGAAAAGTTTTTTTATCTCTGGTTGTGTCCGTTGTGTCCCTTCGTTGTGTGTTTACATACTTACTTGCGTACACGTGAGTTCAAGGCCAAATTTCATATTACAAGTTAGGACAATTATATAAGTTTTTGCCTAGGCGTCTGTCTGGGTACCACTTTCTTTTAGCAATTTTAGCCCACAAGTAGTAGTGCCAAATGCACTATTGTGTCTTAGTTTCAAGGGTAAAGGAAAGGAGCAGGGGTGTCAAACTCGATTTTCAATCACGTTTTATTTAAGTTAAATTATCCTGTTTTGTTAATCATTAGATCAGATTTATTCATATACTAACTAACTAATGATAAATCTTTATTATTTTTCCATAAGAGAGATAATGACATATAACTTTTTATTCTTTTTTTTTTAGTTTACATTATGAAAATAAAATAATTGTTATATACTGAAATTATGCATTAAATACTAAATAAAAACATTTTAAAACATTAAGTTTTGAAATGTTTTTATTAAGTATTTAATGCATAAACGTTTTTCAATCTACTTCAAATCTTTATTTTAAATTTAATACTGTACGTAAAAACTTTATAAGTATACTATTACGGTTCAAATTTATTCTGGCACTAGCTGTTCCCCGCGACTTCGCTCGCGTAATAGGGTTTTTATAGTTTTGCGCGGAACAATAACTCTTTTTCTAAAATAATAAATATAGCCTAAGTTACTCCTTATGAAATCAGCTATTTGCCAGTGAAAGTCCCGTCAAAATCGGTCCAGCCGTTTCGAGATTAGCCGGAACAAACAGAGAGACAAACAGACAGACCGACAGACAGACAAAATTTTTAAAAATTGTGTTTTTGTTATAAGTACCGTATACAATTTCATATGCATTTAGTTAAAAGCTGTTATTTTGACATTACAAACAGACACTTCAATTTTATTTATTTGTATAGATTATTCTACACAAAGATTAAATCGATTACCAACTATATAGAATTAATACAGATATCTCTTAGGAATTGAATACTGTATGTACCGATTTGTTGATCCACATTGTTAATCTAACATCTGCGAAAAGGAATTTCTTACATTTGTTGCACTATAACTATAGGTAAACTATCATTAGCTTAATGTGCAATTTTAATGTGAATATGACGGTATAGAGAGGGCATGGCATATAAAATAACTAAAAAAAAACGCAAATAATATACAAATCACCTGCACTGGTGTCTCCGGGACATACCCCCCGCCCATGAGCAAGAGTCCGCCCACAGCAGTGATGCCAGACACTGCGTTGGTGACGGACATGAGTGGCGAGTGCAGCGCCGGCACCACGCCCCACACCGTGTGATAGCCCACAACACCTGGTGACGCCAACACATTTACATACAATTAATACTATTTCTAATATGATATGATCTTTGCAGATCTATAATAGGTTTTTTTTGCTATTATATAGAACACTATGTGTGAATGGGAAACTGTATATAATGAAATTGAAGACCATTTTATGTGATATTAATAGACCAATAATCTATACAAATAAAAAAATTTAAGTGTCTGTTTGTAATGTGAAAATAACAGCTTTTTACTAAATGCACATGAAGGTACATACGGTATTAATAACAAAAAAAAAAACAAATTTTAAAATTTTTGTCTGTCTGTCTGTTTGTTCCGGCTAATCTCCGAAACGGCTGGACCGATTTTGACGGGACTTTCACTGGCAGATAGCTGGTGTTATAGGGAGTAACTTAGGATACTTTTATTTTAGAAAAAGAATTATGGTACCGCGCAAAAAAATTAAAACCCATGAAATCATAGTAAATTCCACGCGGGCGAAGTCGCGAGGGATAGTATCACATAAAACGGTTTTATCAAATTTGTGTTGAAGCAAAAGAAAATGTTAAAAACAGATACTGTATCAATACTTTATGTGATAAAAGGTACCTTGTTCATGCAAAATTGCAACCCAAAATACTTTTACTCCATTTTTTTTCTCTTATAGCGAGATAATCAGCAAAAATAATTCATTTTATCAGTTTTTCGATTTTACAAAAAATCCTACATATTTTTCGGATAAAATCAGCCCTGATAACTCCTTGCATTTGCTATCTGTTCATAAAGTTTCATAACAATCTGTTCAGCCATTCCGAAGAGACCAGATAGACAAAAGTTTAAAAAATTGTTGTTAATGACATAAAAGAAGGCAGTTATTTCGATATTACAAACAGACATTTTAATATTATTTATATGTTATCAAAACAACACAATGTTTCAGTTTTCCTCTGTCGCTTCTTACGAAACCGACAGGATGGGATGAGGTAGTGGTTATTCTTATGTTGCCGCTGATGAATAGAATTTAATAAAAAAGTAAAGCAACAACGGGGAGCGCCCACCACGAGGCTTCAATGCGGGTTGTGTTGGTGGACTTTACATGTGTTCAATTTTTTTTAATTTCGATTTTTAATTCACCGCTAAGCACGTGGTAAATCAGCACATAAAATCGTAATTAACGTTTTCATTGGTTTCGATGGGGGTTGAACCTGGGTTGCTCACGAACTCTGTAATTTACAGCAAGTGCTTAGCAATCCCTGAGTTACCACGGTTCTGAAATTGCATTCATAAAAATTCTTAAGCCTATTAAACAATATTAATCGTATGATAATAATCCTTATATGAAACTACCTGCTAATGCTAGTGTGGTAGTCATTGTAGTGAATGCTGGGTTTGGTGATGCCACACCAAGGCCAATCAGGCTGGCTAATCCTGCAACAACAGTGGTAATCATTTCCTTTAAAACTGAAAAATCAAAACAGGTATTAAGTAATATACTACCTTAACAGTAATATATCTTTTGATTGTTTGTAAAAGTAATATCATCATTCTAAAATTTTATCATTGTCTAAGAAATTTGGTACAATCATCATGGAAACAATTTAAAAAAAAATCAAGAAGGTTTACCGACTGCTCTATTGGATTAGCAATTGTGGTAAAAATAAATTTCTCACTTTGATTTGGAGACAAATATGAACTTGATATGGGATAGTGGTTACTCTTACAATATTATACAAGTCCACACCAATTTTTAGTGACATGACAAATGATTTCTGATATGTTATATAGGAATAATTGAACTGCCCTCGCTCAATTTAAACGCGGTTTCCCTTGCACCAACCTCAGTGTTTTAATGTTTTAATAGATGTGATATTTGAGTTCTTATTTAATTATCTTATTGGAAACCACGCGACTTTCTTGACGAAACTCTTTGCAGAATCGAGACTTCTCGTCTCGCAACTGTTTTAAAACACAGGTCTTAAAATTTGATGCTATCTACTGATAATAGATAAAAAGAATATAATTTCGTACTACAGGGCTAAAAATAATACAGTAATTTTAATATTTTTTATATAAATCATTGGTTAAATCACTGTTAGTGATCATTTCTAAATGACTTGGCTGAATTAGGTCATATTTACACAATATATTTTTGTCGAGAAAAATAATAAAAACAATATAACAAATACCTGTCGAATACAGGAATGTGTCCTTCAAAGTCTCATTGAAGGGGTTTGGTGGCTCAACCTTTGCCAGGCTTGGAGCTTTTGTGGCAGTTGCAGCCGCGGCCATACTCGGCGGCGGCGGCGGCGGCCACAACAGCTCGCCAGCCTTTAGCACTATGGCCCCTCGGGTTACTTCGTCCTCCAGGTTGATGTGGAAGTGGTCATTTGTGCCTATAAAAAGTTAAGTTAAAATTACAGCCTATATACGTCCTACTGCTGCTGGGCACAGGCCTCCTCTCATTTCTGAGGATGATTTTCGGGCGAGGAAATATCCGCAATGCATGTTGGCGAACTTCACATGTCTTCGAAATATTTTTTTCTTATTTCTCAGACATCCAAGTTTCCTCACGATGTTTTTTCTTTCACCGCACAGCACGTGATAAATGAGCACTTAAAATTGCAATTAAGTTAACAATTTCATTGGTGCCGGCGGGGATCGAACCCGGGTTGTTCGCGTAGTGTGAAACTTAATTAAATATGGAATATTAATTTCCTTTGATTCAATATGTTAATGCGAACTCGAAGGTTTATCCACACTCATAATATATAGGTTAAACAGTTTAACCTTTCTTAAAGCGTCACAAGCACACAACTTGACTAAATAGTTTATTCGTTTTAATAAATGTGTATGCAGTATGCTTAGGCTTAAGGTCATCTCCAAAGAGGCTTAGCTGTGTGTGTGTGAATACATCAATTTCTCATCTTAATCACCATTATTACTCATCCCCCATACAACAATATTATAAGTGAATTGTAGAAGAGTCAGAACACTTATAGGAACCAGGCCCCGTTACTGAACGGAATAATGTGTATAAAAATTACCTAATGTATCGTTAAGTAGTCTACCTGCACTTTCACTTGTATAACCATATGAACTTCGCAAAAGTTTAGCGAGGTGTAAAAATAAACTCTGTAGCTTGAAACATAAGACCTAATTAGTGTTAAAGGGACAATTTAAAACTCAATTAGCTTAAAAGCTACACATAAATAGTAGCACAGAGCAGTTTAACATATTGCTGATTATAATATAATGATTTTACCGGTGTGTTAGTTACGTATTTGGTTTTGTTGTAATAAAAGGGTTTTGTAATGGTGCCCAGTATCGTAACTTGAAATTATGGCTTTATTAGATAAAAAAAATTAAGGAATAATATATTCCATCGATATGAGTGACTGTATCATATGCATTCAGGTAATGTCAACATTTTTCGGCACACATCAGATGGGATATGCAGCTCGAATTCCAACTGATACTAAGCTACATTTAACAATTACAGCTGTAAGCTATAAGCCTGAGAAATTTAATGGAGTGGCATTATAGGTTCCTAGCTATAACACTGGGTGCACTGCTGTTTAATTGACGGACATATACAAGAGGTTGGTAACTAACCAAAAAACTTTTAAGACCAAGGAACCACTCATGGTGGTGATGTTACATTCAGATTTTTAACTAACCTATACTGAAAAGGAATCCTGAAATATTATTAGCGTAGAGCGTGGACGCATGTGCAGGCATGCGGCTTGGTAGGTCTGTGAGGCCGATGTGGGTTACGCCGTGCACTTTAATAATTTCGCCCTTTTTAGTGGTTTCCACGTTGCCGCCCATCTCGGCCGCTAAATCCACGATCACACTGCCTGGTGCCATCTCTCGTACAGCGTCCTTAAATAAACAATAATCGCTAATATTACTCCCAGCTGATATGATATATAATTCGCAACTGAATAATAAATCTGATATACATAATTACATATTATGTAATTATTTTGTATGTAGTAGAGCCATGTTGCAACTATATTATGGTTGTGGCACGAATGAGTCGGCTTGAACGGGAAAGGACCTAGCTCTTACAGAATACCGTAAAAAAGCAGCTAAATGCTGCTGTGTTTTGTATGGTTAGTGTAGAAAACCGGAGACCCTCTTTACTGGATACGAAGCCATCCAACTTAGTCCTTAGGAGCGACAACGCATCTGCATTTTGATTATTACATACATACATAAAATACATAAACACTCACGCCTGTCACCCAGAGGGGTAGGCAGAGATTATGGACTTCCATTTGGCACAATCCTGACACACCTCTCTCGCTTCCTCCACATCCATATACCTACGCATACACGCTCGTCGGTTAAAGGTACTCTTGATTTGGCCCATTTTTAATATATCGCCAATTTGGTCGATAAACTTTCGCCTAGGGCGACCCTTCCCGACTATGCCGTTCACCTCTGCAACATAAATTTGCTTTGTCACTCTTTCCTCATTCATTCTTTCTACATGGCCAAACCACCGAAGCATTCCTTTCTTAATCCTGGTCACAACATCATCTTGCAAACCACACTCTTCTCTTATTAAACAATTTCTCACTCTGTCATTCAGATTCATCCCTAACATACTCCTTAATGACCGCATTTCTACAGCATTTATTCTACTCTCGTGCTTCTTCTGCCACACCCAACTTTCACTACCATACATTAAAGTAGGTACTAACACAGCATTGTGAATTGCCATACGTGCCTTTTTGGACACATTTTGACTTTTCACAATAGAGTGTAGAGCCCCATTAACTCTGTTTCCTGCATTCACTCGTCGTTCTATATCCTTATCATATCTACCATCCCTGCTAAACACACATCCCAAATATACAAACTCATCTACTTGCTCTACCAACTCCCCTTCTATTCTTATTTCACATATCGTTTTACTTTCTTCTCTTTCAAAAACCATAACTTTCGTATTACTTGCGTTCACTTTCATTCCCTTTTGATTATTAATTAAGATAAATGTAGATATCTGTTGGGCCATAGTATCTACTTACCATCAGGTGGATTGTGTGCTTGTTTGTCCGCCCTTTTACAAAAAATAATAATTAATTTAATTCTGATTTGTCACAAGCAATTTAAGACCATTTGTAAAAAACTAGGAAAGGGAGTTTTATGGTTGTCTTATTTTATTTTCTTAAATATAACAAACTAAAACACATGCATACACCCGCATATTTGTCATATTACTTAGTCATTGGTCAGTTCTGACGTGAAACACCAACATTCCGGGAAGTCTGCAGTTTGTGATCACACCCTAGACGGCCCCCGCCATTACATTAGATTTGATAAACCACAAATTCTCGCGAAAGTACATCGATTCCTGCCAAGCATGATACATGAGGTTATTGAAATTAAAAAAAACTCCTAATTTCAATAGAGAGGGAGGCTGGGTAATACTTAAAACTAAATCCAAGCATACCACTACCAGACTTCAAGACACAGTAAGTTCATTCTGCGTAGATCGGACCAAAATTAATAATTAAAAAAGCTGAAGGTACTTCGGGTTAACTCTGACATCGGGACGTCCATCACCTCAGTCCCCTGTGACCATGGGTGCTGCTGTAAAGCACCCGAAACGTCAGGAATTAATAAAAATATGTTAATTAAACGCGATAGAATCCGTAAAAGTAGTTTTATTCAATGTGTAGTGTTCGCATAAACATAAGAAATCATAACTTTCGTTATTATTATTTTATCTGATGATTCTAATTAATGCCTTTAATTTATCTCTTTGTGTAACAATAATATGCCACGTGATAGTAACGGTATGCATGCACGTCTTCTATAATATCTTTAACATTGGTATGACCTGTGCTGAGTGACTTCAAAATACTTAGTTTGCTGATATAAGTAAACTAAAGCATTGTTTAATTATAATTACATAATATATTATATTGGATTTAAAAATGTTGATTTAAATTTGTCAAAAAGGTAAAATATCAACAGCAAAAGCGATAAGTGTGTTTTGGATAATTTTAAAGCATGTCCTCCAAATTATTTTTAGACATGCAAGATTTTTAACGATGTTTTTCTTTACCAATAATTTAAAATTAAAAATTTTGTACAACCGACTTCAATATAAATTATCTATACAAATAAATAAAATTGAAGCGTCTGTTTGTAATGTCAAAATAACAGCTTTTTACTAATTGCATATAAAAGTATATACGGTACCTATAACAGAAACACAAGTTTTAAAAATGTTGTCTGTCTGTCTGTCTGTTTGTTCCGGCTAATCTCCGAAACGGCTGAATCGATTTTGACGGGACTTTCACTGGTAGATAGCTCATGTTATAAGGAGTAACATAGGCTACTTATATTTTTGAAAAATAATTAGGGTTCCGCGGAACAAAATTTAAACCCTAAATTACACGCGGGCGAAGTCGCGAGGAACAGCTAGTTAAGAATAACTTAAAAAGTATTGGTCAGAACTTGATGAAATTTATATGGGACCACATGAGAAACACCAGCTTTCAAATAAAAAACAGAATCATCGAAATCGGTTAACCCGGAAAAAAGTTATGAGGTAACACTAGAGGTGGGCGCCGCGCCGGCGCGGCGACGCCGCGCCTCTATGCACCCGGCGCCGCCGCCGCCGAGTATCCAAAAATTCGCGCCGACCGATTTCGATTGCAAATTTTCTGTTTTCAAAAACTTCAAATTTCGCTTTATTGTTCGCATAGCCGGGCGCTTGGGGCCAGGAGCGAACGGGCGGGGCGTGGGGTGCGGTGTGCGCTCGCACCGCGCCATAGTGGCGCGGCGCGGCAGCGCGGAGCATCCAGCCAGTTGCTAGTGATTAGCTATGTACTCGTACGTTTTTGCGCGCCGCACTGCCGACTTTTATTAACGTAAAGAATTAGTCGAAATGTCGTCCAAGTCCAACCCTAATGTTGGCAAAAAGAAAATAAGTCAGTTTTCTATTTCGGTACTTTTTGATCGGAAAATTAAATCTAGTTTCGCTTGGAAGCACTTTGGTCAATTGATTTTGGTAGAAGAAAACAAAAGGAGTAAAATTTTCACTGATCAAGTTTATTGCAAGCAATGTCTTACAGCCTGCCAATCTGAAAATGGTGATATATCATTTGAATTGTAAGTATTTACCTAAACTTACATTCTCTTACTATATTTACTGTAAGTATATATAATATTATAAAGAAGTGCCTACCTATAAGTCAATCACTTCTGTGGGACAGACTATCGACAATGACGCAACGTAACTTTTTCTAGGTTTAAGATGTACTAGGTGCGTTGAACAATTATGACTTCAGTATTTTTGTAGGTACTCAGTTAACAATGTTTGTACTTTACAGCACCTAACGCAAAACTAACCTTCATCTATCTGCATCCTGCATACCAACTGCATATTAATTTGCCTTTGCTGTTTATGATTGTTTGGCATTTTTGTGGATTCTTTAATTAGGTACCTAACAAAATGTGTGTGTTTCTTAAACTGTCATGATTATTCTTATTAGAATCCTTATACGAATAAAATATTGTACGGTCAGCTGCAAAAGTGCATTTCCACTCAGTGAATTAATATGACTTACTAGAGTAAGTTTTCTGAAATAAGTAAATATGTGTTCAAATATTTTAAAATTTGTTTTATTGTTAACACACAACTCATACACATACTCCTAAAATATGTATATATTTACATGTTTGTGTATTTATGCAATCAATCACTTAAGATGCTGACTGTACATATGGATGGAATAGAATAAGTTATTTGCTAATGCTCTGAAAATAAGGTTGCGGAGTTTTAATTCCACTTCCACACAGTAAGAAGTGGATTCTGGTTGTGTTTTGGATTTAATCTAATATCGTGTACTTACTTTTTTGTGACATTGATGATTGAAGTTGGAACAACATATTATCTCATATTATAACGTATTAACTAATTGCAGGGCCAAAATTAAATCATATAGCAAAACAATCAGCACAGGGAATCTTATAAGACACTTAAGAGACTGTCACAGTATAAGGGAGGACAAAACGGAGTCAACAAGACTTATAAACGATTTCTTTACTCTCACCCCACGCCCTCGAGTTAGAGCTACAGTTGCTTCCAGTTCAACAGTGAACGTGCTTACTAAAAAAGATAAATGGATTCTTGCAAGAGATTTAGCACTTTGGTTTTGCACCTCACTCATGCCATTTGACTCAGTTTCGGATGAAGGGATGATCGATTTCTTTAAGGTAAATAAAATAAAATGGCGTTATTACCTTTTAAAATTACTAAATGTAGCATGCTTTATATTGTTCTCTGTATTTATATTTTAGAAATATAACATAATTGTCTCCGATGAAGACATACCATCAAGATACACTGTTGGTCGAGGTGCGCTAGATGACGTATATGAAACTATGCTTGCAACAGTGAAAACCCAAATATTAACAGGAACTCCACGACATGTCTCTATTACGTTTGATCTGTGGACGGATCAGTATCGACGACTCAACTATATTACATTCACGCTTCATTTCATAACTGCTGGTGAGAGAGAACCACTAATATTAGACTTACCTTTAGTTTGTGACCTATTTTAGGACACAAGCCTCCTCCTTCTTTGGTTTTCTACGGTAACAGACTATATCGTAGGAATGTCACCCATATTCAATCCATATTATTACAGATTTTTACTTTTCAGATTACGAGCTCAAAAATTTTACACTAAGTACTCAACTTGTCCAAGGAAAAAAAACTGGAGAAAAGATTCAAGGAATGATAAATACTACAGTGTCAGAATTTGGGTTGTGTGATAAAGAGCTGCATACGGTAACAGACGCAGGATCAAACGTTAAGCGTGCCATTTTACTGTCTGATCTTGACAGCCATCTGTGTTTGGGACATGGTTTACATAACCTGGTCATTACTGATGGGATTAAAACTGTTCCTTCTTTGAAAGAGATGGTGGAAAAGGTTAAAAATATTGTAAAAGCCATAAGGTACCGGTTGCCTGAATTGGAGAAGGAAGCGGAAAAAGAGCAAGTGGAATTTTTACAACAAATCGAAAACGTTTCAGAAGTTCTGGAAAATGACGAAAATGAACCAATTGCTGACGACGACGATGACGTTTCACAGAAGTCGCAAATATTCAACGACGAGTTTGGCAATTTAAACCAAATGCCAAGCATCAAAACCGCAACGCCCACCCGTTGGCATAGTGTGCTAAGTATGTTGGAGAGTTTGGCGCATTGTTGCAATAGGAACCCAGTTAATTCTATTCTCACCAAGATTGGCCTGGAAGATTTGAAACTGGTACAAACCGAATGGAACCTGCTGGAAGACCTCATAAGATTTCTTCGGAAATTTCGCGAAGCAGTTGAAGTTTTATGTGCGCAAAAGTCTGTTTCACTCAACTTGGCTCTAGTGTTTCGCTCAGAATTAAAAGATATTTTAAATTCAATCTCTGACGAAGAAATCGCTGTGATGATATCGTTAAAAAATAAGATGCTCGAGAAATTTGACCACAGGTTTCCTTTAACAAAGAATGTAGTATTGGCATCTCTTCTTGATCCCAGATTTTCAGGATTAAAAGAAATTGATTCATATTTATTGGAAATGAACACAAACCGTGCAGCTTTTCTGGCAGATTGCATCAATGAGCTCATTAGGCCTTCTGATCTGCCACATTCCGAATCTGGTGAAGCTTATCATGATGTATCAGAGCCACAAGCAAGCTCTTCTTCGACTCAATCTTTGCTGACAAAATTATCGAAAAAGCACAGTAGTTGCAGCAACATTGATGAATCACCAGAGTCAGATTTCTCCCAAGAATGTTGGAGATATCTAGCGTCGATCGATCCTAAAGAAGTAGAATTCATGAACGGTGATGTTCTTGCCTATTGGCGGGAGAAAAAAAATGTTTTCCCAGGACTAGCTGCGCTTGCCAGGACTATTCTTGCGATTCCTGCAACGAGCACCCCGAGTGAACGTGTTTTTTCCATAGCTGGATTAGTTTTAAATGCTAAGCGAGCACGTTTGAGCCCTACTCGCGTAAATAAAATTATTTTCATACACGATAACTACAATAATTGTAAAAACACATGAATAAAACATTTCACATCCAAAAATTGCGTTCTTTTTTACAAAAACAGCCACGCCGCGGCGTGGCAGCGCCGCGCCGACCAATTTTTACCAGCGCGCCGCCGCCGACAAATCTTAGGTCGGCGCCCACCTCTAGGTAACACACATATAAAAAAAACATACAGTCGAATTGAGTACCTCCTCCTTTTTGAACACTTAAAGGTCTGATCTGACAATTAAAGGTAAAATTTAATCATTAATCTCAGTGACGGCTGTGTAATCAGGTTCTGATTTTTTGGTTTGATTATATGAAATTTAAAGTGATCGTAAGTCCACATTATTTGCATGTGTACCAATTACTAAGTCTTAATATTAAAGATTTAAATTACCTCTAGGATGAGCAATGGTGCAGGTTTGCCGGGTATGAGAGCGGTACTAATAACGACATCGGATGTCTTCGTCTCTTTCCCTAGGAGAGCTCGTTCCGCTTTTAGAAATTCTTCGCTCATTTGTTTAGCGTAGCCACCCTCTCCAGCTCCTTCCTCCTATCATCAAAATAAAGGTTTAAGGATTGAGCCAGTAAATGATGTACATTTTCTTATAAAATATTTATTCTTTAACTCAGACCAACATAAAAATACGTAAAGCCGCGTATCCACCAAAAATGTTGACAACATTTATGTTTCCAACTGTTTCCAACTCAACAAAAGTTACCAACATTTGTTTCCGATGTTGCCGAGAAATGTTTCCAACAAGCGTCTCCACCGAGGGAAGAAATGTTTGCAACAAGCGTATTCCTTTGATGTTGCCGCCGAAAATGGAAACACGGTTCCCGATATTGTTTCAAGTTTTGTTGCCAACACTAGGTAATTACAGAAACATTTGTTACCAACACGTGTTGGCAACACAAAAGTTGGTAACAAAACTTTGGTGGAGACGCGGCTTCACACAGACAAGTACCAACATGAAGCTGAAATTTTTTTAGTGTTATTTGATAGCCAATTACTTCAATATTTTTCTTGGAACCTGAACTGTGTTACTTTTGATAAACATGAAAAAGTTATTATTTGAAACAATGTTGGAAGGTATTCCGATATTTTTAACTTGTAATGTATATGAAATCACATCTATGTATATTTTTATATTTGTGACGATATTATAGTATAATGTTATACAGATTTAGAAGGGAATTTAGAGTGTGGCCGTGTGGTTGCGGCGTAAGATAATCTACAGTCCCATAACGTCCTGTAGGTACCATAAGATGCGACAAAGGGAAATAAAACAGACGATAGGCAGCAGCACCTTCATGATAGCAACTCAAAAATAATAGTACACTGCACTTTTACTTATTACTGCCAACCCGCCTGCCAAATGTGGTAACTATGGCAAATGAGTCAACTGACGGCGGATTGTTGTAGAATTTACCACATTTATTTTAGTAATTAGCGGTAAAGGTTTTGTTTTAAAGCGGCTAAAAATGTATTGTTATAAAACATTAAAAATTATCTTGCTAAAATGTAATAGTGAACAGTTATTGTATCGGAATTTTCAGAATTATTGATTGATATTATTTTAATATTTAATTATACATAATATGTATTATTACATATATTATTTATTATTGATTGGGTATTATTTTGTCATCGTCTCAAGAAGACATAATTATATTTTTTCTTCAATATTTAATATACCATAATGCGTCTCAAGTTAAAGAGTGATTGAGTATGATGAATATGCGTGCTTGTGCGTGTTTTTACAATAAGTTGAGCATGGTGTTGGCATCACTTTAAATTGTTCGTAGTGTTCTATCTTTCTTTGTTGGTCTGAATTCTATAGTCGTAAAAATATAAACTAATTAGATAGGTAGGTAGAAATGCGGTGCACACAAACAAAAACATATTTTCGATGCTCCAACATTATACACAATCCTACATCAAATATTTAAATTGCAAGCCTTGAGATATATGTCAAAGCAAATGTTGAACAAAGATTAATATGTTTTAAATTATTATCTAGGCTCTGTAAATATTAATGTTGTTTACATAAAACAAAAATACTAAAAATTAAATTAATTCATAAATATAGAATAAAGAGCAAAAATATAAAATAGTTATAGAAAGGACATAACAATCATAAATGATGTTTATTATAGCTTCTCCTTAGTTATTACACTTATTGTACACTAGCTAAATTCTAAAGGAAATATGTAGTGATCAGTAGAGCACACAATAATACGTGACAGCGTAACGTCTATGTCTACATGAGTTCAGATGTAGGACAATTACCAATGGCGATAGCAGCCAAGGCCAGAGTGGATGCTGCACCCCAACCACAAGGATTAGGGTACAGGTACACCCACCTCTGAAAAATAAATTTTATTATAAATGTACAAAATTTACATGTTCAAATAATAAATATTAACCTGAGAAAATAAGAAAATTTAAATAAACATAAGTTTATTGATTGAAAATTGAATAGTAAGTTGTAATATTGACTTTATTTAACCGCATCGTGTCCGTAAATTGTCATACTTAAATATTTACACTGTACGTTTACATGTAAATTACATACATGCACGCGCACTTGTATGTATATCGCGTATACTTATTTAATATTAAAAATAAAAGGGATTATACTTTTTATACGCATTTTTACTTATATGATATAAAATAATAATATTATTTATATTCGTCTACTTCAGCCATTCGTAGTCCATTGGCGGATATAGCTCTTTTATATTATAATATATATCCCTTTCCTTTCTTGAATAGTAAGTACTTACATTACATGACATTTTAGTTGCGACAAAATGGCTATGACTATACGAAAACTATTTTAGGTTTTTTTTTGTATATCAATGTATTTCATATATAAATTATTGTAATAATTGTATGTTATCCAATAACAAAATCGATATCGTAGTTTTGTTTAATACCATTTTAGTAGGCGTTATTGTCGTAGTTGCGAGTAAATATGTTGGGTATGTATACCTAGTTCTTACTACTTGTTTCGGTGTGGGAATAACTGGACATTAAAAACGTATTTTTTTTTTGTCGAATTTGTGTATTATGTAGCCCTAAGGTATAAATATATAGTACCTTGTAGGTAATCTATAAATTTTCGGAATGTACACGTTATAGAATTGCTACCGGGGCATCGTGAATGCCGCTAAACCATTGCCAAGTACAAAAAATATTGTATTCGCCTTGGCACCGGGTACCCGGGGCGATAAACCAACGGTACGCACGCATCACGAGTGTTGCGTCGCAACTCATATTCTAAAATAGCGAGTAATTAGGTACGACTTTTCTATGGTTGCCGACAAAGCGAATTTCTAATGAAAAACAACGAACGGGAATACAAATCAACAACTGATATTTTATGAGCAAAGTAATCTATATCTATACATTTAATTAAAATTAAATTGTCTCTGTATCGAAATAACTGCCTTTTATATAGCTGAGTGGATTATTTGCATGCCGTTATGACGTGAACAACTATTTTTTAAATTTTGTCTGGCTGCCTGTCTAGAATAATCTACGGAGTGGCTAAACCGATTGTAATGAAAACTCACGACCAGCGTGCTTGCTATATCACGAGTGATCTAGGCTATATTTTATACTAGCAGTATTGAGGTTTAAAAAAGACGATAAACTATAAAAATAAATTGTCATTGATTATGCTGAATTTAAATAAAGGCACATTAGTAGATCCTACCCAAATGTTAAGTTGGGGTTGGTTGGGGCGGGTCGCTAATCTATACATATAAATAAAATTGAAGTGTCTGTCTGTACTATTGAAAACCTGTCAGAAATAACCATATTTAAAATTTTAATCTGTCTGTCTGTCTGTTCGTGCTTATCTTCGTAATGGCTGAATAGATTGTGATGAAACTTTACGAACAGATAGCAAGAGGGACAGAGACAGAAAGAGCAGTGCCAGTACGGGTCTAGGTTATATTTTATAAGAAATCTTAGATGTTTTTTTTGTAAAAGAGAAAAATTGACAAAAAACGCGACTGCTCAATACGAGGTCCCGGGTTCGAAACGGTCGGGCATAAAAAGATCAGTAATTGAATTTTCCGTCAAGAAATTCTCAGTAGTTGCCCGGAGTCAGGAAGTTGGCGGCGTATCACCGCCTTAAAGAAAGCACGTAAAGCCTTTGGTCCTGTGCCTGATCTCTCTCCGGTCGTATCGGTTCACAGTCCCATCGGACTATGAGAGTGAGGGAATAGAGAGTGCACCTGTGCCTGCGCATACACTTGGGCACTATGATCCTGTCCTGCGCCGATGGCTAGTCTCCGTTGAGGGTGGCCGCTGTGACCGAAATTAGGTCTGGAGGACATTATTATTATTAATTTTATATTGCTGAATGCAAGATTTCGTGAAGTTCGTGAGATATCGCGATATGGATGATAGGTAAGGACCTAAGAAAACATCAAAAGCTGATTTTCATGACAGTAGGGATTTCTTTATCAATTTACCTTTCAAAATACATATTAGCATTGAAAAATTATCAGCATAAATTCTTAATATATCTCCCGTTAATAACTCGTTATACCTAGTCAGGTCATAAATTCTGTCACATGTTTAATATAAAATAATTGAAACAAGTTTATTCATTATGTAACCATTTATATACCAAAATGAACTTAACAAAACATACATTCTCATGACACTAAAGTTTATTCAAAATGACCTCCGTGATTTTGAATACAGGCCTTCAATCTGCGCGGCCAGTCGTCTATCGCAGCACGAACGAGGTCCATGTCAATATCGGCGGCTGCCTTAATCAAGGATGTCTTGAGTGACTCCAAATTGGGATGAGGCTTTGAGCACGCCTTTTCCTCCAAGTGTTGCCATATCTTGTAATCTAACGGATTCAAATCTGGACTGGAGGAGGGCCAGTCTTCGTGCCGGATGAAGTCGATTTCACGCGCCGCCAGCCAGTCTTGTGTGCTCTTCGCTCTATGAGCTGGCGTCGAATCTTGTTGGAATACCCAGTGCCTGTTATTGAACATGGTATGAGAAACAGGTTCCACAAGGTTCGTCAGGACTGTATTTTGATACACAACTGCATTCGTTTTTACACCTTTCTCACAAAAATGTACCTCTGTTAAGTCCCAATAAGAAACTCCCAACCATAAAATATATATACCATAAAATACCATGAGCGAGGATGGAAAATGACCTCGTTGGACACGCGAAATACGGTTGCTCGCTTCTTCACTACTGTGTGCGTACACCTTATCATTTTGTTTGTTGTAGCTCTCTTCTACGGTAAAAATTTTTTCATCCGAAAAAAGAATTTCCCGATATTTTTTCCCGCGTACCGCTTCAACAACTTCAACGGTACCGTGTAGTGGCGGTCAAGAATATCCACTACCCCATATCCTCCCGTGGGTGTCGTAAAAGGCGACAAAGGGAAACAGGCAGGAGATGGGCAGCAGCATCTTCCTGATAAAAGCCAAATTACAATAAAAAAACTGCGGTTGCCAACCCGCTCGCCAGGCGTGGCAACTATGGCAAATACCCCCCTATGAATGACAGTAACAAAGAAACGGCCCCCAGTCCCCGGCGGCCCCGCTATTCCTGGCTACGGTGGCGACCATGGTAACGGCGGGGCTGGGGGTGCTAAGAATCTCCGGTGGAGGTTCGGTTGCCACCTTAGACGACTCGACCTGGCAACGTACAACGCACGCACCCTGAGGACTGACGAGAAGATCGTGGAGCTGGAAGAAGAGATAGACAAGTTGCGCTGGCATATTATAGGATTATCCGAAGTCCGAAGAGAGGGGGTGGACACGGTAATCCTCGAATCCGGCAACTTGCTCTATCACCGGGAGGGCGACCATCTGTCCCAAGGAGGTGTCGGATTTATCGTCCACAAGTCTCTCGTTAACAACGTTGTAAAGATCGGGAGTGTGTCGACGAGGGTTGCGTACCTTATACTCAGAATCACCAAACGGTATTCGCTGAAGCTCATACAGGTTTACGCACCAACCTCGGCACACCCCGATGAGGAGGTGGAGGATATGTATGAGGATATCTCTAGAGCCATGCATTCCTCCAAAACCCAATATACGGTGTTAATGGGAGACTTTAATGCAAAACTAGGCACAAGAGAGAACGGTGAGCTGAAAGTAGGGAAATTTGGAATAGGGCAACGGAACCCAAGGGGCCAGCAGCTGGCCGACTTCATGGAGAAAGAGGGACTCTTTATGATGAACTCTTTCTTCCAGAAGCGGCCCCACAGAAAGTGGACCTGGTCGAGCCCCTACGGTTCCACAAAAAATGAGATTGACTTCATTATGACGACCAGACGACAACTGTTCAGTGATGTCTCCGTGATCGCGAGGGTGAAAACTGGTAGCGATCACCGAATGGTTAGAGGCACACTGAACCTAAACGTTAAGTTGGAGAGGTCTCGTCTAATGAAGTCAACGCTCCGTCCCCCTCGTGCTCTGTTCCAAAGTCCCGAAACCTTTCAGCTCGAGTTACAAAACCGTTTTCAGTGCCTGGAAGACTGCAATGAAGTGGACGATATGAATGACAAGCTCGTGGAAACTGTCCATGCGGTCGGAGCTAAGTTCTGCAAGACCCGCCGCAGAAGAACACAAAAACTCTCCGATCACACTCTTAATCTCATGGCTGTTAGACGGGAGATGAAGCTACATTCTTCAACAGACTTGACAGCATACAGGCATCTGAACAGACAGATCTCCAAATGCATGCGGCGGGACTAACGCAACTTCAATACAGCTCGTATTGAAGAAGCGATCGAGCGGAACCAAGGCTCCAAAGTCTTTGCCAGAGATCTGTCTGCCAGAAAGAGCCAACTGTCAAAGCTGAAGACAGAATGTGGCAGCATCGTTTCCGGGACACCTGAGATTTTGAGTGAGATTGAGAGGTTCTATGGGCAGCTGTACACGTCATCGTTGGAGCCACACGCAAGTGTGAGTAACGATCCAAGAGCGAGTCTCATCCGACACTATTCCGAAGATATCCCGGATGTCAGTCTGAGCGAGATTAGGATGGCTCTCCAGCATCTTAAAAACGGTAAGGCCCCAGGCGAGGATGGAATTACAGCGGAGCTTCTGAAAGCGGGTGGAAGACCGGTACTTGAAGTCCTTCAGAAGCTCTTTAATTCCGTCCTCCATGGTGGCATTACACCGGAGGCGTGGAGCAGAAGTGCGGTGGTCTTGTTCTTCAAGAAAGGTGACAACGCTCTCTTGAAGAACTACAGACCGATTTCCCTTCTGAGCCGCGTCTACGTGCTGTTTTCGAGAGTCATTACGAATCGTCTCGCGCGCAGGCTTGACGACTTCCAGCCTCCCGAACAAGCCGGTTTCCGAAAGGGCTTTAGCACCATAGACCACATACATACCCTTCGGCAAGTTGTACAGAAGTCCGAAGAGTACAATTTGCCACTATGTCTGGCGTATGTGGACTATGAGAAAGCCTTTGATTCCGTCGAAATTTGGGCGGTGCTGCAGTCCCTTCAGCGGTGCCAAGTTGACTGTCGGTATATCGAAGTGTTGAAGTGCTTGTACAGTAGGGCTACGATGGCTATCCGAGTACATAACTAGAGTACGAAACCTATCCAATTGCAGAGAGGTGTAAGACAGGGTGACGTCATATCCCCGAAACTCTTCACCGCTGCATTGGAAGATGTTTTCAAGCTTCTGGACTGGAAAGGATACGGTATCAACATCAATGGCGAGTACATCACTCACCTTCGATTTGCCGACGATATAGTCCTTATGGCAGAATCGCTGGAGGACCTAAGCACTATGCTCAATGACCTCAATAGTGTTTCCCAACGGATAGGTCTTAAGATGAACATGGACAAAACAAAGATCATGTTTAATGTCCATGTCACACCTATGCCGGTAGTTGTTGGGAGCACTAAGCTCGAAGTTGTTGACGAGTATGTTTACCTGGGACAAATAGTCCGACAAGGTAAGTCCAACTTCGACCGAGAGGTCAATCGACGGATTCAACTCGGCTGGGCAGCGTTCGGGAAGCTACGACACATCTTCTCGTCAGACATACCTCAAAACCTTAAAACGAAATTGTACAACCAGTGCGTGTTGCCAGTGATGACTTACGGAACTGAGACGTGGTCCTTCACTGCTGGCCGTATGAGGAAGCTCAAGGTCGCTCAGCGAAATATGGAGAGGGCTATGCTCGGAGTTTCTCTGCGTGATAAACTTAGGAATGAGGATATCCGCAGTAGAACCAGAGTAACCGACATAGCCCAACGGATTAGTAAGCTGAAGTGGCAGTGGGCTGGCCATATAGCTCGAAGAACCGACAACCGATGGGGAAGAAAGGTTCTCGAGTGGCAGCCTCGTACCGGTAGGCGAAGTGTAGGGCGTCCCCCCACGAGATGGAGTGACGACCTGGTAAGACATGTAGGAAGTCGATGGATGCAGGTGGCTCAGGACCGTGCTTTGTGGCATTCTTTGGGGGAGGCCTATGTTCAGCAGTGGACTTGTGAGGGGCTGTAATGATGATAATGATGATGACCGCTTCAACAAAGCGCGGCATCTCTTCAGTCTCAGGTCCATTAGACGAGCATTCAAACGATGTCCTGTTTTTCTTCGATATGCCCGAAGCCCTAAGTCTTCATTTAACACCCTTTTCACCGTGGTTCTGCTTAACCCCATCTGAAGGACCAACAGTTTCTGCTTACGTTTGGGATTTCTTTGAATTCGCGCCTTCACAGCTTTTATCACTGCTGGAGTCCTAACAGACCGAGGGCGACCACTTCTTGACCTGTCATCTACACTAGAGTCTTCATTGTATCGTTTGATGGTACGATAAACGAATCTTTTGGTTATATTAAAATTTTTCAGTATGTCAAAAATTTGAATTGGCGCGTAACCGCAACGATGCAACGCAATAACTGCAACACGGTCTTCTTTAAGCGTCCACTCCATATTTAAAAATGAGTAAAATTCTAAAAAGTATACAGTTTTATTTTCATGAACAATTCGAAATTCGAATTCAATAAACTTTTTTGTGGCCAGCATTCTAAAAGAAAAGTTTTTACTGTATTACAATACTTATGACCTGACTAGGTATAATCCCTAAGCTTATATACATATAAACTTGAAGATAGAACTACTGCGATAACACTGAAAAGGTACATATGTGTTTGTAAAAAAATTGCATAATAGTAGGTAAATCTTGTAAATATTTATCAGTGTAATTTGTAAAATTAATCCTTTTAAACACGCTTAAGGTGAAAGCGCCAGGGTAGCTCGCGATATTCAAATTTTCTTACGTTTTTTGCAATTTGCAGGTCAGCGTCAGGTTATAATCCCATTGTATGGCTATTTCCAGAAAAACTCATTCAGAGGAATTATGTGAACTTAGAGGGTTGTATTGGTGATTTTAATGATAATAATTCTGTAAACACATACTCGTTACGGTCGCGAATCATATTTTGTTAAACATACAACCTGGCCCTGACCTGCAAATTCCAATAACGCAAGAAAATTTGAATATTGCGGGCCACCCTGGAGTTTTCACCTTAAGATGTTATACGGTTGGCATAGAAATATTGATATAATTGATTATCAATTAATTATGACTCAGTGTACTAAGCAGTCCTAAGCCTGTAATAGGAATGAAGATCGAAATCAAAAATAATAATCGTAAACGAATCGTAGGTAAAGTGCGTTTTATTCAGCAACTATTTATAGGTATATGTCGCAGCCAACTAGCTTAATTAGCCGTTCAATTATTAACGTCTACGTCTAGCCATTACATGGCATGGTCACCCTATTAATTTCATTCAAAGAGATGGACGCTGCTCTGTATCTAATTAACACTATGTGCTATGTACGTGGCTTTAGAAATGAGAGGTCTGTGCCCAGCAGTTGGGCCTATATAGGATGAAACTTTTTAACGTGTCTTTAGGGTGGCCGGAGGGCCACCCCAGCCGCACCTTTACCTACTGTCGCTGATATTACAAGATATGTGCAATGATGTATTAGACTGAGATGTATGAGATTATTGGCTAAATATCAGTTACGCCGCTAGTAAAACGGCACCGTTTAGTAAAAAGGCTAGGCTGTTAATTGAACGGCTATTTACGCTAGTTGGCTGCGACATATATATACTATATACATGAAATGGTGTGGTGAGTACTTTATATATACGCCGGCAGGTGTAAAATCGTCACGTGATCATCCGTATTAAGTAACTAGTACGCACCGTCATGTCCATGGTGATGAACTGCGCGCCGAGGCTCTCAATCTGCTCGCGGACTGCGGGGCGCGTGTCGAAGGCTCGCACCGCGGCGCCCATGCAGCGCGCCTGCGCCGCGGCCGCCAGGCCCGCCACGCCGCCGCCCACCACCAGCACCCGGCACGGCGGCACGCGCCCAGCCGCCGTCATCTGACCTTCGCCCCAAGGATCATTTTATCAAATAAAACTGTGTGGAGGCAGACAAAAGCCGCGCTCTCATACTATACTCTACATATAGTGAATAAAACTATTTTTACGGATTTTATTGCGTTTAATACTACTAATTTTAAATTCCCGACGTTTCGGGTGCTTTGTTCAATGTGTAGTATTCGTGTAAATATAAGAAATCATTATGTACATATAGATTGCGGCTGGCCGTTTGCCTAAAAGATTTTGCAATTAAAATCGTAAATAACACATGTTCATAGTTTTGCTACTGCCTGGTCTTGCCTTGAGATCTCGACATAATATCGTAACCGACTGTCTCATACAAATTATTTTTTTGCAAAATTGTGCGTTACCTGTTATGTTGTATTGCGACGAAATTTCTTTTTACTGAAGGTCTTGTAACCAACATACGATGATGACCAATTCGAGTAGCACCAAAGTTCATTATAGCACAGAATAAATAATAGTACTACGTACAGAAGTTGCACTCCTTTAATGTTGACTGCTTGTCGACATTTTAATAGCCTACTAATTATTATTAATGAGATAAATCGCGCACACAAGCTAAATAAAATTTAACCCCGCTGCGCGAGAGTGTCCGTATTACTTTACATCTTTTCCCTTTCCTACGTCACGACGGACTTTCCGTGGTTACTAAGGGCTGTTAGTAAGTAAGTTAAGGTAAGTAAGTTACTTAGGTAAAGTACCTATTCTGACTATGATCGAGCATATTTAAGCTACTATGTGAGTTGTGTGATGCCCAACGCATGCAAACTTGCAAGGCTATTCGTCGGGAATCGCGATGTTTGGCTCGGAAGAAATAGGTAGACAACAATAATATATATAATAGTGTAAACAACAAATAAACTCGAAATAAGATTGTTAACAGAAATGTAATCGTATTTTACGGAGCCGTGGCGCCGTGGCTTAGCAATGAGTTGCTGCGCTGGGGGCCGCGGGTTCGAATTCCGCACGGAACAATAATTTGTATGGCCTACAAATAATTGTTCCGGGTCTGGATGTTTGTCCTTGTGCAATTTGTGTTTGTAAACTGCCTCCACGATACAGGAGAAAATCCTAGTGTGGGGGTAACGTTTTTAAAAAAAAACATATTCCTTCCCTTGCTGCCATTAAAAAGTACCACAGTATCTGCATTTATATGCATGCGGTTCTCTGCTTTAAAATTAAGAATTAAAGAAATGAAAAGCATTAAATGATACACAAAAGTTACTAAAATAAATCCGAAAATTAAATGAGGTGCATAAAGATAATTAAAAAAGGGAGTCAATCAATATTCATAAGTAACCTAACAATCCTACTTAATTAAAAATTTTCTAAACGAAGTTTTAATTTCAGCATTTTGTGTTAATATAACTTCTTACAATATTTTAATTACAAAAGACTAGTATAGGTATGTATTTAAGAACTTGGATACTGAAGTAAATTTCAACTAAGTTATATAATAAGGTACTTAGTTATTACCTCTGTAGTTAAATTATTACTTAATTATTTTTTCGCTAAAGTACCTATCTAAAAAAAAATAAATATAGTCACTTTTCATTATCCTTCGGCAACTTAAAAAATGATATATCTGAATCCTTTTGTTTGCTCATTAAGCATACATCCACGCAACAGTTATATAAGTAGGAACAACGTTTTGCCATTATAATTTATCTAATAGATAGGTAATATACATATACATATGTTGGTGTTCAATTACATTAAAAAATTTTCAACTATTTTATCCTACAATTAAATATACTAAACACTGAACAAAACTATTTCGACGAGTTTCAACAAGCATTTACAAAACATGATTTACGTAAACAGCGTTAAAAAACCTTTCCATTCAATCGTATAGAACGCGGTAGCCTCGAATGCGTTGTATCCCGGGGGTGCCTCGCGATTGTAGTTTTTTTATTTTTCAGTTGTTATTAAAAAGACGCTGCTGCCAACTTCCTGCTTTGTTTCCCTCTGTAAACTCTTACGACACCCACGGGACAATATGAGGTAGTGGATATTCTTGCATCGCCACTAGACGGTTCTATTAAGACTAGCTGTATTAAATTATTAAACGCGTTATTATTGAATCATGTCTATTCACTCTTGAACAAGACCCTTTTTACCGATTGAGTACAGCGTACCAGTAGATGTGTAAAAAAACACTACCCGATTCAAAAAGGGCACATAGGTACCACAATGATATTACCAAAAAAGATCATGCCTAATTAATGAATATATTTTTATTGTTAATAAAAATACATGTTTTGTACTACAAATTTGCACAAAATTCAGCAATTATTAAAATTACGGAACACCGTCGCGTCGTCGGCAACAGTGTTTTTCAACGTGTTAATGTACGAGTACCAGTGTCGTCATCGTCAAAGGTCGGATAACACCGAACCACAGTTTAAAGACCGAACCGCACTTTGCAGCGCCGCGCTGCAGCAGTTTCAACGCGATCAAAAAAAGCGCCGTCACGTATAAGCTTACTTCCAAAGTTTCGCTTTCGCGCATTTATTGCTACAGGGTGACTGCATCCGTTGCGAGTTGATACTTGTGATTAGGTTCTGCGAAATGTGGTATACTCTAAATAAGAGTATTTTAATAAGTACCTATGTTAATGTGCTTGTTAAAGCGTTTGCGTTTTTTGTACTTAATTGTTTCTAACGGACGAACGATAAACTGTTAAGTGAAGCCTGAGAACAGAGGTCAAAGTCGTGACCCAGATTTTGTTATCCAACGATAGGCGACCGTCCGCGTCGCATAATATGTTACTACGAAGTTTCCCCGTTTAATTAACTCTCGTTTTATTTTTGCGGAGTAATTTATTTTATTTATTATCTTAAAAGGATTACATATGATCAGAATCATAGGTAACACGATAACTTAAAGCACCCTCACAGATCGGACAGGATTTTTTTTATATATTGTATTTAACTAGTAGGTAATTGATGATGATTTATATATTTTTTTACTGATTGTGAGCCAGTGCATGACTACAATCCCATCTGTCGGTAAGTGGTGATGAAACCCTAGATGGTAAATTGAACTCTTAGCGTAACAAAGTCTATTCACTCTTGACTTCAAGAAGCCTAGATTGTAAGTGGACTGAAAGACAAATGACGGCAGATTATTTCACTCCTTTGCTTGTATCCAATAGACGATGACATACGATAGACGAACGAAGCATACCGTTTGGTTCGAATACGTGGAATATCAACAACAAAGGGGTGGAGACCCGTCGACCGCCTGTTTGTCCGATGGTAGAAAGAGGAGGGAGAAATGTGTACACTCTCCGAAATATATCCTATAGAATACTTAGAGATAGAGACTGGTTACTCTAGTACTCGTAACTGACGAGATTGGTTTCAACTAACTATTTTTAATAATTCGATTATGAGGTAAATCGCTAACGAAATTTATGTTTGTATGGGATACTTATTAGGAATTATTTTTACAAAAAGAAAGCCTAAATAATATGTTGAGTATCAAGCTCCGCTTGTGTTGATGAAATTCTTGACTTAAATAAGTACTTTAATATGTAGACTGTATATAGACAATTTATTGGTTGGTATAGAAGAGGTAGCCGTAATGCGTGCGTTCGCGACCGGGTGGTTCCGAGCAAGACATGCGTTGTAGTGCCGCGTTGTGTTCATGATGGTGGTGGAGCCGCGAAGCGCTCGCGGAACCGGTTTGAGGTTCGCTGCCCGACGATACGAGCTGGGGAGAATAATGGGCAGTTTGTCCGATGCCCTTGCTATAGAAGTCTGCTGCACGATAATCGATGAACTCTTCAAAGGCATTCTTTACTGCTTCTTCGGAACTGAAATTATTTCCTATCAAGAGTATCAAAACTTCGAAAAAGTGGAAGTCTGTTGGGGCTGTGAAGGTCCAAAGAATATGGTGATTAAGGGTATGTACTTTTAGCTCTAGGGGAGACCGGGGATGGTTGACTATAGGGGCAGGTTGACTTGCTGTCAAAAACTCGACCTACTCAAGTGTTGCTTCATCCAACTAGGCGCGAAAACCCGTTTTCTACCCCCGCTCAGGTACCGAAAGAGCGTCATCGTCTACACACGTCGTTTGGGAGAAGGAGCTTAATATCCAAAAACAAACCATGTAAGTAATTGTTTACCTCCTAATATATTTTTTAGTAACGCCTATATACTAGTTGTTATTTACTTTCAAGTAATTTAAAGTAAAAGTTTGATTGATAATCTTTTTATTACGTATCATTATTTTTTATTTCGCCACAGTTTTGAGACTATACCATGTGGTTAAAAATTAAAAAGCAGTCCGGGGCTGGTAGACTAATTTATTTTGGGGCTGTTTGACCACTTAGTTAACCTACCCCATAGTAGTCTGGGTATACTTTACGGAATAAACTCAATTTTCTTTTTAATTTATCAAATGCTTGTTGTTGCGGAACCACGCGAACGTAAAAATAAAAATAGACAAATATTCAGTGATGAGGAAGAACTCGCATTAGAAAATTACCTCAAGGGGGCAGTTGATATTTATTACGGATTTACTCCATAAGAAACTCAAAAGTTTACACTATTTATACAGACAGAATAACAAGATTAAGAGAAACGGAAGAGGAAAAAAAATTTTCATAGGACAAATACGAGGAATAGTGACGAAGAAGACAAAAGTGATGGGGATGATACATTTTGTTTAGAGTGCACTGAATCTTACATTTTGAGTATTCCTGGAGAATCATGGATTCAGTCCACTATGTGCAAGTTATGGGCCCATACACAGCACTGTGCAAATGGTAATATTTTGTTCCATTAATGCAAAAATTGCATCCCTGATTTATAAGACTGATTAGATAATTCCAAGAATGTGATATACTTCATTAAAAAAATATAATTATATTAGTTGAATTAGTCAAGACTGTTTTTTGCTTTTGTATATTATTAAGTTAATAAAATTTTTCTTGTTTTAGTTACTAAAAGTTTTATGTTTTCAGTGTTTAGTTGACAAATTTTTAAATGTATGATTGTTTATTCTAATTTATAATAATTTATGATGTATATTTAAATTGTCAGGATTAAAAATTTAATTCTAATAAAATTACAAATACTTCTTATATTTTTTATCGTATTTATTCCTATAATATGTGCTACTTATTTGATGGGTCAACTTACCCCTAGTGACAAGTCAACCAACCCCGGGCATGGGGTAGGTAGAGTCATATTTCGTGTTTTACAAAATTAAGCTTGTGCACTATATCATAATGGATAGCGAGCGTTTTGTTATTTTTTTCAGAAGCTTAATAGTTTACCTATCAGATGTATTGATTTTCAGAATATTATACATCAAAACAATGAAAATACAAACGTCTTCACTGAAATTTGGTCAACCATCCCCGGTCTCCTCTACTAACTTCGCCAACGTGGGTTGTGCAGTATGTGACTTGCAGTCGTCATGAAAAAGCAATAACTATAGCGATAAATATTAGAGCAGTTCACAATCCGTGTTGTTTCAGTGCCAATTTCTTCACCATCATTTGTTATTCTTGACAATAACGGGTAGCAGTAACTGTGGCACCACATGGCAAGAAGCGGTAGTGAATAACATCAACACTAGACCATCAAACTATCACCGTTAGTTTTTCTGGCTAATCATACTTTTTTTTATATAGGAAAGGGGGCAAACGAGCATGCGGCTCACCTGATGGTAAGTGACTACCGCCGCCCATGAACAACTGCAACACCATGGGAATCGCAGATGCGTTGCCGGCCTTTTAAAAAGGAGTACGCTCTTTTCTTGAAGGTCGTTTCGTTCATTCGTTTCATTTTGAACGTATGTACGTATGTCATTCTCGTATGAGTTCCACTTCCCATCGCTTGTAGCAATCAAAATTCCCTCATTTCTATAACGATTCAAGAATATGATGCACTCTTGGGGTCTTTCGCTGTGCAACACTCCTTTCGTGAGGTATAACAATTTGTCAACAAAGATTTGTAGCTCCAGTATCGCCTTCAGTTCGTCATTATCATCCAACTCCGGGCAGCTTTATTAGTGAGGTCATAATTACCCGAACGAAAGCGATTCAATCAATGACGCACAGTTCGGTCGATAGGTCTGAATAGGTCATTGATATTGCGTATATTCAAAAATAACACGCATTTTCTCAGTCCATGTTTATAAATATAGCGATAAGGCGAAAAATACAGGGGGGGGGGGGGGTATGATTGGCAGTGGATTTTTATAGAATATAATGAATGAATGGATTTCTTCTTTCACTCAAAGTTTCTTTACTTGTGCTATGAGACCTTGCTTCTTACCAATATTCATGATTCTAGGTAAACGGGAAGTGCCAGATGTATTGAGCTTGCGATCTTTTGATTGCGTTGACGGCTTTTTTTTTCACCTCCAAGGGACTGTAGTTCTTACTATTTTTCATGTTAATTTTAACTTGATATAATACTAATCTTTATATATAAAAATTACGCGTCACATTGTTTATCCGCGATGAACTCCTAAACTACTGAACTGATTTCAATTAAAATTTGCACACTCTGTGCAGTTTGGTCCAACTTGAGAGATAGGATAGTTTTTATCCTGATAAGTGACACTCAATATTTTTTATTACGAATTTAGGAATTTTTTATATGAAGTTTCGTCGAAAAGGGCAGAACAACGTTTGCCTGGTCAGCTAGTATAATATATGAGAAAAGAGGACAATTTAGAAACGGCCAATAAAGTGATCCCGTAAGAGTTTTTACTTTTTTCCTTTTGAGGAACCTTAAAAATAACGAATATTATATATGGTGCTTAAGATAATGTAGTAAGCATTTATGCTAATAACTAAGGATAGAAATATTAATAATAAATACCAATTTTTTACAGATATTGGCAAAATTCTTTTTATAGTAACCAAACAATAACATTGAGAACAATGAGCTGAGGACAACACATTGTGTGCTGCTTTTAAACTCTATAACAAAAAGCTAACGAATTTAACCAAGGTACCTGTTTAAAAGGAACAATATCAAAAGCAGGCCGATTTTGGTATGAAAGATGTGGTAGAAAAGTAGCTTTTTGTACCTGAGAAAAAACGCGGGAAATGTGCAGCAGCTTCGATGACGGCACGGTATCCTGCCACATTGGCCATAGAGCTTAGAGCGTCAAATGCCTGGGCGCGGCTAATCCGGGGTATACAGTCCATAGCTAAAACAAATTAAAACTGGTTTTACATTAAAAAAAAATAACGACCTGAAATATAACAATGTATAAAAACTCACCAAACGCATTCACCTTTTTCGCCGATAGTTTCTGTATTAGGTCTTGATTTTGTGCCGGATATAAGAACGATATAATCGTACTTTCATCTTCTACATTTTGTACTTCCTTTTCAATTAATGGTCTAACCTTGAGAATTATATCTATAATAAAATGAAACATATTAATTCTTAAAAAACAAAATGTACTTATTGCCATTACTAAAAAGATACTAACTAGATTGATATGTCTCATTCAAGGTAGTTATTTTAGCGCCGGCTTCTTCATATGACTTATTTGGGAAATTTGCTAAGAACCCAGCGTTTTCTTCTACATTTACGCTAAATCCTTTTTTCACTAATTTACTAACTACCGCGGGTACTACAGCAACTCTGGAAAAGACAATGTTATTTTAAAAACTTTTTTTATATTATTTAACACTATGAGATTTATGTAAACATCATACCTTCGCTCATCTTGCCATATTTCCTTTGGTACCCCAACAGATAACTTTGTGTATGGTATTCCTTGAGGAGGAGGTGCCGATGACGATGAGCTAAAAAGTCTCCCATGCCAAGATCGTGGCAGCGACTTCCGAATCCTAAGCACTCTTACACAGCCACACATTATAACTCTTTAATCTGTAAATGTGTTACGATAACATTAAAATTCCAAATAATTAAAAATTTTGTACAGCCGACTTCAATATAAGTTAATTAAGAATAACTTAAAAACTATTGGTCTGAACTTGATCAAATTCATATGGGACCACACGAGAAGTACCAGCTTTCAAATAAAAAAGAATCATCGAAATCGGTTCACACAGTAAAAAGTTATGAGGTAACACACATAAAAATAAAATATACAGTCGAATTGAGTACCGTCTCCATTTTGGAAGTCGGCAGAAAAGCCAATATCATCATCATTTACAACAGCCAGTATAGGGAAATTCATACAGATATATAATAAAGTTCCAGATGATATTTTAAGCCTCTCCGAAGAATAATTGAAAAATTATCTACATTAAAAAGTATTTTTATTCCAAGACTATTTTCAAAATAAATATTTTGATTACAAAGGAGCACGCAATGAAAAATTTCTGTTTAACACCAAGCTATTTAGTGACTTAATTATTTTTTGGTAGTAATCCTTTTTCGCCTACTTCGTTATGCACTGATGCTCTAAATTTTTAAGGTCCTTTTTTTGCGTGTTTTCCGTTTGTATATTATTATACTCTGCTATTGTAATAAAGTTTAACAAAATGAGCAATATGAGGATAACTGCAATTTTTTTTAGCAGTTTCTACTACGGTCAGAGAAAACTCATTTTGAAACAGTAGTAGAATTCGAAACCACAAACGAAATTTTATTACCTTACTTCGACGAAATAAATACCTCTATTTACTTTTATTTATTTGGATTGGACTTATTGTAATACTTGTTATGTGCCAATCCGCTTGTCAAGGGTAGCTGTGAACCACTTGTCGTGAGTTTTTCAATTATGTTCGAAGTTATAATTAGTATTAGTAAGTTAATTATATTTTTATAAGGGTGACAAACATGCACACAGTGCACCTGATGGTAAGTAGTTGATGTGGCCGATAGACATCTACATCTATCCTCGACTACGAACCAAAATGCAGATGCGTTGTCACCCGTGAGGACTAAAATGGAATGCAAATGGTTTTCGGTTCTCTAAACTCACCACACGAAACACAGCAGCGTTAAGCTGCTATTTTACGCTGGTATTCTGTGAGAGTGTGGTCCTTCCCCGGTCGAGTACGACCCATTCGTGCTACAACTATACTACTAATATAGCTACAGTATGGCGTAAAAGTTGTATAATAATTATAATTATTGCTTGTCTTTTACCTTCCTCAAAAAATAATTGAATATACAAGATGTTCTTAATACACACCGAATGTCTGATAAAAAGGCAAGTACATCTTTTGCTAAACTTTAAAACAAAAAACCAATATTTAAAACATAGACGAATCGATCATAACTTCCTTAACTTTAAAATAAGTTAAGTTCTATAATAAAGATACTATATAAATTAAAGTTAAGTTCTAATTAATGGTATTTATTCCAGTTTATGACAGCCCTGATTTATATTACGTGGCTGAAATTAGGTAATTCTTATCTTAGGTACGTCAAACCAAATATCAGCTTAATGGCTGATATTATGCACTCCATACACATTTAGTTTATCTAATTACAGCCCTATTAATTTCCACTAAAATAACATAAAAAATTTGTAAATTTAAACAAAAATAACTGCATTAATATGTCTATAGTTATATTCATACAAATCAAAAAATCAAAAAATTAGAAAAATTAGCGTTTTCCGATGAGTATACGAGTTTTGATTTTTAATTTATAACTGATAGATGTAACTGTTTAGTAATACATATTTGAAGTATTGTTTCCTCTAGTTACGAAGAATTTATAGCTGATAATATTAGTAGTTAATACTAGAAACATTATTTACTAAGTAAATGGGCGAAATGGCTGGGAATTATAGGCGTCGCTGGTACTTCATTGTCAGCACAAAACGGAGAACAGAAAGGACCGGTGAAAATAGGACAAATTAATTGTACGCGGTCTGGTATTATGGATTTTATTATATACATTTTTACGACTTATTTTTGCACTTATTGTTAGAATATTAACAAAAGTTTCTTATCACTCAGTACCCATTTAGGAATTGTTCTTTTATTCTTAGGGGTGTCATTGTCATAAAAGGAATGATTTTCATTCTTTGTATGGAATAGACTCATAAGCGCATTCAGCGAAGGATTACAAATTTTTACCTGTTTCGGTCTTCAACAACCTTACTAAACACGTCGAAAAATACTACAACTGAACTTTCTTATTTTTTTTTAAATGTTTATTTCTATGATATAAGTAAAGGGATATTTTTCTAACATTGTAAACAATCTCGAACTCCGGGACCGTACTATAGCCATTTTTTCTTGCTTAAGCTACGGCCTATTAATTATAAAAAATCCATTACCTTATTTTTTCCCGTGTATTATAACTAAAATATACATAACTGTTTTATACACCACATATTACAACGAAATGAATATTCTTTTTTTCATAGAATATGCCATAATTGCCAGCCTTGGCAGGGTTTTTTTTTTAATTATTTTAAGTTGCTATCAGGAAGATGCTGCTGCCGATCCCGTGTTTCAGTTTCCCTCTGTCGCCCCTTACGGCACCCACGGGCTGATATAGGGTAGTGAATTCTTTTACGCCGCCACCCGCCACTGCACGGCTAATTCGTCGATTATATTTAGGGCTAAAACGAATTAAGTAAGTGTTAATGAAATAGTATTTTATCCCTAAAATAATAAGTATTTTTTTTATGATATAAACATAAAGAAGATACGGTACGCCCGAATATCTAATAATCGTAAACTGAAATACGTGCATTACGCACACAAACTTATTCATCATCTATACAAATAAATAAAATTGAAGTGTCTGTTTGTATGTCAAAATTACAGCTTTTTACTAATTGCATATAAAAGTATATACGGTACTTATAGCAAAAACACAATTTTTAAAATTTTTGTCTGTCTGTCTGTTTGTTCCGGCTAATCTCCGAAACGGCTGGACCGATTTTGACAGAACTTTCACTGGCAGGTAGCTGATTTTATAAGGAGTAACTTAGGCTACTTTTATTTTAGAAAAAGAATTAGGGTTCCTCCCAAAAACATAAAAACCCTAACATGCGAGCGAAGTCGCGGGGAACAGCTAGTACCTATACAATAACAAAATAGAAACAATATAAACTATCATCGTAGTGCTCTACCCCGATTCCACAATGATATGGCCGATCAACTTTATTTCGTTAATAGGTATTTGCTTTTATTAATTTAAAAATAAAACTAGTTTTTACACGTGGAAAGTGAATCAAAGTGAATAAGTGTGTGTCTACGAAGTGCCTGAATGATTGGAACTTTTTTGTGAAATGAGTAGGAAGGCATTTCGATTACAGATATACACTATTTAAAGAAATAAGGTTCTTTTCAAAAAAAGCATGTATGTTGTGTAAACGACAGTAATGTCGACAGCTAACCCATTTATTTACTCATGTGCCGCAAAAGTGCGTCAGTTAGTAAGGGTGACAAACGAGCACACAGTCCACCTGATGGTAAGTAGTTGCTGCGGCCCATAGACATCTACATCTATCCTCAGTTACGAATCAAAATGCAGATGCGTTGTCACCCATGAGGACTAAGATGGAATGCCTCGTTTCCAGTAAAAAGGGTCCCCGGTTCTCTACACTTACCATAGGAAACACAGCAACGTTAAGCTGCTATTTTACGCTTGTATTCTGTGAGAGCGTGGTCCTTCCCCGGTCGAGTCGACCCATTCGTGCTACAAATATACTACTAATATAGCTGCAGCATGGCTCTACCTCTACCAAGTAATCGTTTTCGTGGTCCTATTGGTTATGTCCTATCAGGTATGAGTTATTACATTTAAAAAAAAAGTGCTATCACATTTGGACGCACATATTTATTTTTTAAACCATAGATATGATCGTTTTTATATAAATACATAAAGTTAACTATTTAGATACCTACTTCAATTATCGCACAAATTTCGTATATTGACGATAACATGAATACATTCAGATAATCGTAACAAAAAATACACGATTCAATCGAGGGGATACAAGTCGAGTTCGCGAGTAGTAAAAACACTAGAGAACTGCAGACTAATTTGATAAATATAAATAGGTAACTACTGAAAATAAATAAAGTTAACGTTAACTACATATGCCCTTCAGCTGGGCACCGGTTTGCTCTCATTGCTAAGGGGTTTCTACACATAGCTATTACTTATAGTATATTATAAGACAAAAAGCACTCAACAAGAAATAATATATGAATGCCTTAGTTTTTACATACTCTAGATATTGTAAGAATTATCAATCCTATTTTGTTATCGAATCATCTTAGTACTAATACAAACCAAAAATGAGGAAAGTTTAATTAATTGCCCTCTATAGGATATAATAATGTCATACATGTAGAGAACGAAATTACACAAGTTAACCAACGCTCATTCGTTTTGTTTACGTGTAGCATACAATTATGGTATCAATTTGTTAAAAATTAATGCATCTTGATTACCATAATATCAGTAATGTTATTGAAATTACTTAATTATTTAAAAAAATACATTAATAAGAGTTAATGGTATAATATTCTGCACATATGCTCCTTTGCCAACATTGCTGTGATTCGAATTTCGTTAGTCTTCTTACCTTTAATCAGGTCTTCTTATACACAGCATCCGTTTCTTCTTTCATTTAGTTTTATATAAAGAAAACACAGTTATCTTTTGATGTTTCAAAATGAACTTTTAAACGGCGTGATGCAAGCGTGTGGAACGATGGTGGTCCGCAACACTAGTGAAGTGAACCAAAGAGTATAAACTGTCTGTCTGTGAACAATGAACAGTGAACACAATAACCTGACTAGTTTGAAGAAAAGTAAGAATGAGAAGTCAAGCGTGCGAGCGACGGGCAACGAAACGAATCAACAAATATTTTGTTTCTCCTCGAGCGCCAAGAACCAAGAAACCGGCGCGACGCACAGACTAGTACATAATTATCTGTGAAGCCGGCCGGCTTCTTTGACAGAAAGTAGCGTCGTGTCGCGTATGCAAGTGCCTAAGCGTACTGCGTTTTCTTTTCTCTATCGTAGTGAAGTGTTATTTGTTGTTAAAAGGTTAGGTTATGTCAAGTTTAACACAAAAAATAAATACTATGTCTACTTAATTTATAAATTAAAAAAATATAACAAATGTTCGTCATAGAGTTGAGTTCTTTTGCTTTTAATTGTTTAAAAATATAAAGTTAAGTAATCAGTGTGTAACGTCTTTACTGTCACAGTCACAGTTTAAAATTAATTACCTATTCCATTAAATTTCAAACTCTATCTTTACACAATTACACGTCATGTAAAGGATATTACAGATAGATTGTCGGTCGCAGCTGGATGACACGTTTACTTATCACAGGGAGCGAAATTAATAGTGATTGAACTGTATTTTATGTTAACATTTTGTTTTTTTTTTTGCAGTACTGTCATAGACACTAGTAAACATAAAATATGGTCAGCAAAAACGTAAAGCAGCTTTTCCAATATCTTACAAAAAACGACATTTCAGTGCGAAATTGTAAGTATATTGTAGAGTATATATTTTTTTCAGTGCAATTCGTTTTTATTTACTTAATCACTGCATATTTATTTAGGTGTAAAAATAAAATTATTTAAAATTCATTAACTTACTATAATAACGCTTGAATTATATAAGTAATAATAATTAAAAAAAGTTGTTAAGTACAGTAGGCATATTTTTCTTAATATTCTATTGTTTTTTTATCTAAGTATTCTAATATAGTTTAGGGCGCTTTAATAAAAAATATTTATACTCGTTTATATTTAAAATATCAAAGAAGTTTCATTTACCATATTTTTTTGGATAAGAAGATATACTTAATATTTAAAACTTAAATTATATTTCGAAAAAAATTATATAAACTTTGATTGGGGTATAAATTATATATATATATATATATATATATATATATATATATATATATATATATATATATAATTTATATATATATATATATATAATCAAATTTAAAGTACAATTAGATATTATAGGTACTTACAAATAAATACCTACTTATGAATAATGATTGTCAATTGCTCCCAATCAGTTGTTTCATCAAAAATGTATACCTATTACACACACTGTGTAAATAACCTTCATACTTCATTTTCATAATGAACTTCGAAAAGTATAATAGCAGCATTTTTAAGTTGAAGAAAAATCAGATCGGAACCTGGAAGACCTGGTTATTCTCTCTAGGTGGCACAATTCTCTTAGTTACATCTATACAAATAAATAAAATTGAAGTGTCCGTTTGTAATATCAAAATAACAGCTTTTTACTATCTGTATATAAAAAATTATATACGGTACTTATAAAGAAAACACAATTTTTAAAGTTTTTGTCTGTCTGTCTGTCTGTTTGTTCCGGCTAATCTCCGAAACTACCGAACCGATTTTGACAGGACTTTCACTGGTAGATAGCTGATGCTATTTTAATTTTATAAAAAGAATTAGGGCGAAATCGCGAGGAACAGCTAGTTATAGATAAAACAACCTATTTCTACCACAGTGTGTAGTAGGTATACCAACTGCAGTGTTCTGGTCTGAAGGGAATGGAGAACCGACATAAAACACCGACAACTGCTAAGTTTTGTAATGTCATGTACGGGATTGCGCTGCTATTTACGTCAGATTTGATAGATCGCAAATCCTAATCATGTCAAACACTTCAGTCCTTACATGACTGTAGGTGCAGTACGTACTTAAAGCATCAGTAATACAAAAATAAGTAAAAATAAAATGCAATGAAATCTGTAAATTTAGTCACATTTAATACTTTGTTTTAGATGGAACAGCAAAACGTGTTGTGGCAGCAAAGCCGGTTGTGGAGATGGATGGAGATGAGATGACACGTATTATTTGGGAGAAAATTAAGGAGAAACTAATTTTTCCGTATGTCAAGGTAATTTATTTATTTATTTAAACATTTTTGCACAAAAATGTATAAAGACGGACTTAACGCCTTAAGGCGTTCTCTACCAGTGAACCTATAAGGAAGCAGAGAAATACTTTGCAATATGATATGTGAGAGAAAAAATTAAGGATAAACAAAATAACTATATGAATATTAACAAAGAATTAGTATTACTTATACAATAATATATTCATAAACACATAGACACATATATACAGACATAAAAAAATATATAAATACATAGAAATATACATCACATATCATATAATGTAAATACCATAAAAATGATTGGAAAAACTATAAGACTTAAAAAAAAAACTAAATTAAGCTTCAAGAGTGTCTAGAAAAAAGCCAGTGACTGCTTTCTTAAGCGATTATGAATGAAGCCATTCTTATAGAAGTTGGAACGTTGTACGTAAGCAGACCGATATAAAGGAACTTGTAGAGAAATATTATCCTCAGAACGAAGATGTAAATTGTTTTCAACATCACTGTTGTAAGGATAACCGGTCCTTATTCAAAGTGGCCAGGAATCGCTACAGCGTAAGAGCAGCTAAGTGCTGCCACTTTCATGACAATCTTCATCAGCTAATATTTGGAAGTTTCTAAGATTGCTTGGCATCGGCCATCATTTGTCGACTGTATCCCTTTCTGTTTGACTTAATGACATAAATCTCTACTTCTCGTGTTTCCCCTTTAAATAATTGTCAAGCAAGGTAGGATTTCACTGATCCTTTCCATGCCAACTCCATACATTGAGCCTTTTAAATTTTCTCCCGTTTCTGAAGATGAGATCTGAAAAACCTATCAGTTTATTAAATCCAAAGCTGTAGGTCACGGCTGTGTTGGCAAAATTATGCTTATTCCTATCTTTGATCTCTGTAAGTGATTATACATACATCTACATTGTGTATATGTCATTATTCAAAAAAAACATGGATAAAAGCTAACAGTTAACAAAACTTGTTTGTATGTGAATAAAAATAAATGTAGTGATCAGATATAATTAAAAAATCATTCGTTGAAAAATTTACATAGTTATTTATCCATTTGACATTATAATGTTCATTCATGCAATATTTATTATTGTTGGTACTTGGTATATAAAATATGAGATAAGATTATTCATGGATTTAAAAAAAGAAATTCTTTTATCTTAGGTTTGTTTATAGACATTGTTTGTTTCTTTGTAAAATGGTATTTTAATGCAAATTTTTCTTAAACATTATTTGAAACTTTTTTATCATTCCTTACTATGATTACTTGCCATAGAATTTCAATCTCTAAAGTCTAATCTATATGTAATTTTCATCATTTTTACAGCAGTTTATCCGAATGTATCACTAAATCATTCAGTGTGGCAAACAAAATTGGTCTGGTAGAGCTATTTTCACTCTCTCTGTCATGTATCTATAATGTAATATCCATTATATTTAGTTCAATGGCAAAGATATTTCATCAATTACATAACATGTCATGATTGGGGCTCGGTATCTTTTGTGCATTATCATAAGTACTTAACAATTACAACATGATGTATTCAGACTTTTTTGCAGTAATTAATGTTAATAAAATTTAATATGTAAATAAATGTGATGCAATAATATTCCAAACAATTTGATTCAACACATGATAAAGAACACATCTGTCATAAGTTTTTTTTATAGATTAAGTATAACAAGCACACAGTCCATTAGATAGTAAATGGATACTTGGCCCATAGACATCTACATCTATCCTCAGTTATGAATCAAAATGCAGATGCGTTGTCACCCATGAGGACTAAGATGGAACGCCTCGTTTTTAGTGAAAAGGTTTTCCGGTTCTCTACACTCCCTATACAAAATACAGCAGCATTAATCTGCCATTTTACGCTGGTATTCCTTAACCAGTTGAGACAACCCATATGTATCTATAATCATAATATAGCTGCAGCTTAGGCTTGATCACGTAATTGTGAAAAAGTTAGAAGGAACTAGAAGTGAAAATAGTTATTACTGGTCATATACCGTAGGGAACCTTATTTTTGTACCTAGGCAAATTTAATGAAATTAACTATAAATATTATTAAGGGTATAGGTTCAACAGATAGTGTTTTATTGTGCAATTTGGGAGAAGCCACATCCATGGACTAGACACTAAGCTGTACTCTAAATAATATTGTTCATGTTGCGCACTTTTATATCAGTTTATTTAACATTGTCAATTTTATAAGAACTAAAATAATTCAGTAAAATATAATACAAACTCATGTCATAAATATTAGAAAAGAATTTAAATAAATTTATGATTACCTGATACCTCCGGGAATAAGTGTGTGCCGCCGATATGGTATTTTTTCGATGTAATACATTGAGTGAAACTGGTTTTTACGGATTTTAGCGCGTTTTACTAATTTATTGGAAATTCCTGTTCCCGATGTTTAGAGTACTTTATAGCACCCTTAGTCACGGAGGAAAGAGAATATAAATTAAGTTTATAAAACATGATAAAATCCGTAAAATAAATACTAATTTCATTTATTGCGTAGTGTTCGCGTAAATATATGAAATCAATATTAATCATTACAATTAATATATTAAATAACTATATTACACAACCTTGATATTTTATTTTCGTAAAAAGTACCTAGGTACATATGTAGTTTGTTTTTCAATTTTCAAATTTATTTATTCAATTTTTCTTACCAATTAAAGGCAGGCAAGGGTCTTATACCATACAGCCTGATTTTCATATTTGTATATTATAGTTTACTAAAATTATTAATGAATATTAATTTTATCACTTCGTGTCAATGTTTTCCACTGACCTCTATATATACAAGTACGTATGTTTTCCCTTCCAGTATTTACTTAAAATTATACGTCAGATTTAGAGCTTTTTCACTCTTCAATTCAAAATAGCCATTAATTTAGGGACGATAACAAACATAAGACATTTTACTAAAGTAAAACAGTTGTAAATTAAATAAATAATGAAAAGGTACTATATACATACTGTATTTTTTACTATTTGTTGAAAGCCTTGAGTAACAAAGAAATATCGTCCGCGACGTAGGAAGGGTAAAAGATGCAAAAACCACACATTGCGTGGAGCTATAATGTTTAATTTAGGTTGCATGCGTGATTAATCTAATTAATAATAATTATGTAGGTTATTAAAACGACGGCAAGTAGTCAACATCAAAGGAGTGCAATTTCTGTACGCAGTACTATTCGTTATTCTGTGCCTGACGTTTCGCGTTATTTGGTATTTTCTTGACATTGTTATTCATCTATGGGCCGCAGCAACCACTTACCATCAGGTGTGCTCGTTTGTTACCCTTATCTTATATAAAAAAAAAATCATTTCTAAATTTGAGCTTAAAAAATATTTCGCGCACGTGCTGCAGCGAAATATACGCGGGATAGTGCCTGATTTTTCGAAATGCCGTTGAACCTTGAATTTCGTTCTGCCATAGGAAAATATATATAAGATCTTTTTTATCTTTTCGTAATGTGGGTATTGTTACGGCCTCCAGTTGCCCAGATAGAAGTCGACTGTATTAGGGCCCATGAGTAATACCTTCGACGGGCAATCGCGGGTTCGGGACCAATGGCCTATGGATAATTATTCTACTGGCTGGATAAACAAACATGAACTTACCGAGTTCTGGAGGTAGGGTCGACCACAAGGCGCCGTCAGGGGCAAGTGGGTGGTATGTAAGTGTAAATGTAGTAGTGTGTAAGTGTAACCTGACTTAACCGATGTAATCGGCCAGCAGCCCACATGCTCCAGTGGGCGTTCACCAATTGAAACCTTCTGCTTTTATTTCACTATATTAGTTTATCAACTTTATTGTATGTGTGGTGGCTCCTCATTTTCCCAGAACCGCTGGACGACGTCCGAAAGGGACATGCCCACAACAGAGAGCGGGTCGGCCGTCTGAGGAGGTGGAGACCACAGAACCGGTCCAGGGAAGCTGTGCCCAAATACAGTGGACATGGCTGACAAGCCATCGGGCTGTTGGGCTCGTATCTCGCCTAACAAGATGAACCCCAGCGCGTCGGCCCCCAGCAACAAATCTATAGGCCCAGGTTGGGATCATTGAGGGTCTGCCGGTCTCAAACCAGACGCACAACGAACCGCGCTGTCATTTATACGGACGTTAGGGAGAAAACCTACAATGTCATCGAGGACATTTACTTTAACTAGAATGTGAAGGTGTTCGCTGGCAGGGCCAAACACCAACTCCGCCTGTTCCCTAGGAGCAGGAGGCTCGGCACTTCCGATACCTACCATTGGACGTGATTCAGAGTTCCAGGGGAGCCCTAGTCTTCCCACCAACCAGTTGGAGGCCACACAGCGTTGTGAACCTGAATCAAATAGAGCGCGAACCGTTAACAGTCGCCACTCGGGTTGTACACCTTCACTGAGGCCGTCGGCAATAGGACAGTTTAACAAGTGGACTGTTGACGGCTCAAAGGATCAGTGGAGGTGGCCGTGGTGGGAGCTAGGGCGGCAGCTAGCTAGCCTCCATCGGACCGGCACTTGAACCAGGGGTCCCGAAAGCGGCATTCCGGCGGCATCTCAATGACCCGTGGTTGCAAATCACCAAATGGGCCGACCTGGGGAGCTTCAGGGAACCTTGGCCTTGAGGCCCGGGACAGATTCGAGGTCGCAGGAACCCGGTAGTACCGGTACCGACCAAAGGGGGGAGGGTGGCGCTCCAGTCGCGGCCACTCAGCCAACGGGAGTGAGAACGGTCTAGCTAACCGCTGAGTGGCCGTGAAGTTCCTCTCAACACGCTGAGGGGGGGCGACGACCACCCCGCCCCTGGGGGAACGACCCCCGACTGGTCGGGGGAGGGACCTCCTTCAAACCCAGGGGCACGGTGGCCGGAAGGGGAGCGCCGAGCGTCACCCGATAGAGGGCGTGGCTGAGCTCCCCCGCCCGTGGGAGTTGAGGGCCCGGCAGAGCCCCGAGAGGACGCGCCGTTCGCACCCAGG